TGCCGAGTTGCTGCTTCCCGGGCACCCGTTGTAGAATCCGCTTCACCTGGGCCCTGGAGAACATGCTCGAATGAGGTCGTGGAGACAGGAATGGCAGAACCAGGCGCCACCGGAGGGCCAGAACGCAGCTGAGGGTGCCGCGCCAGTCCTAACCGAGCACAGAGGCCCAGGCGCTGAGCGACTGCAGCCTGGTGCGAGAGAGCCGGGTCCGCCAATCGGGGTGCAGCGGGGCGTGCGGATCCGCCAATCAGAGTACCGTGGGGCGCGCGTGCTCTGTGAGGCTGAGCCGAGTCAGAAGGAGCTGGCGCAGGCGCTTTGGCTTTGGAGGCGGAGCGGCCCAAGGGGGCGGGGCCGTCCACGTGGCGTCGGCCCCGCCCCGCGCCCGGCCCAGGTCCCGGCCTCCCTGGTGCGGGGCTCGGAGTTGGCAGCCCTGCGCTCTAATCCGCCACCGTCATTTTTTTTCTTAATACCCTGGTGGAAGTGAGACCTTCTTTTATGAACTAATCCTGTACTGCACCACACTCTAAAATGCAATTACGCAAGGTCTTGCGTTTATTTCGGGCACGTGATTAGACTTCTAAAATAACAGAATTTGATATGCATTGTTGAAAGCTGAATTTTATCATTAGTACAAAAGTCTAAATCAGAGCCTTGCCACAAACAACCCTAAATTAATGAAAGCTATCATGTATGGGGCACTTACTGTTCTATGGGCGTTTGTAGGTGCTCTATTCACAATGATTGCAGAAGAGCATGATGGTCAAAGAGCTTGGGGTGGCCAGGAGTGCTGGCTCAGGCCTGTTATCCTAGCACTATTGGGAGGCCAAGGCGGGAGGATCACTTGAGATCAGGTGTTCCAGACCAGCCTGAGTAACAGTCAGACACCAGCCCCCTCTACTAAAAGTAGAAAAAATTAGCCAGGCGTGGTGGCAAGGCCTGTAGTCCCAGCTACTCGGGAGGCTGAGGCAGGAGAATCACTTGAGCCCTGGAGTTTGAGGTTGCTGTGAGCTAGGCTGAGGCCACGGCACTCTACCCAGAGCAACATAGCGAGACTCTGTCTTAATAAATAAATAAATAAATAAGAGCGTGAGCTCTTGTCAAACCACATCCCTGCTCCACAGGTACTACCTTAGCCTGTCTCCATTCCCACAGGGTAAAATGTGAAACTCTCTACAATATTATGGTAATGATTTGCTGAGCCTTGGCTCTTCATATGTACTACCTTAACTGAGAAGTTAGAGACTGAGCCAGGTAGAAGCAGGGCTCTAACTCCAGAGCCTCCACTCATCATCATACCCTCTCATGCTGCCTCACTGTGCTTGCTGAAGGTGCCGTGTTTCCCCGAAAACACGACCTACCCATAAAATAAGCCCTAGCAGGATTTCTAAGCATTTGTGCAATATAAGCCCTACCCAGAAAATAGACCTAATGATGGGCTACACGTATCTGCACAACCCGTGCATTTCGTCGTGGAGCGGTAAAGAAAAAGAGCAGCCCTTCTCATCTGCCCCATGAGAGCTCTATTGTTTGACATGAGAGATTGGGGCCAATGGTTCTAAAGGAAATAGAGTCACAAGAAATTCAGGATGGAATCTGGGATTTGGAGAGTTATGATGATGTTCCAGAAGAACATGACTAAACTATATTTGAATAAATGTAGATTGTTGTACTGTACTTAAAAAAAAGTAACACATCTCCTGAAAATAAACCCTAGGGTGTCTTACTGAGGAAAAATAAATATAAGAGCCTGTCTTATTTTCGGGGAAACACGGTATCTGTAAAGAACTGTCACCCTATTACCTAGGGCTAAAATAACAACTGGAGGAATAGCTTGAGAATGGAAACAATTATTAGACAATCTAAGAAAATCAAATGAAAGCTTGGAACCAATGAGGGGATTTGGTGACAGGGATCCAAAATATACAAAAGCAGACTGGAGGAGAGAGAAAAAGAACTGGTGCAGGGCCCCAAAAAGGGTCATAGGGCAGGCAGGGAATAGCCTGAGCTGTCCTCTGTAATTGGCTCTGAAGGGCCAGCCAGGAAGCCTCCTTCTGCTCTGTGTTCACTACACACACACACACACACACACACACACACACACACACACACCGCACCCCAGCTTGGTGCTGGCTCTTTTCTCTTGGTGGTTCTGAGGCCGGACGACACAGGGTGTCCATATGCCTGGAGGAGGTTAGGTGAGGCCAGGTCCCCAGCGCCTGCGGAGCTCACTGGAGCCCTCAGGGCGCCACCACCCATTGGCCTCAATCCTCACCAGTGCCTGGTTCAATGTCTGGCACACTGTAGCTCTTCAGCTGAAGTTCAGTGGAGCTTGAAACACACGTGCACCCTTAAGCCCAGCAAGGCTACCCCAGGCAACAATGTGTTCCCACCTGGCCACCTACCACCCACAGGGCCCACGGGTGCTGGGTCAGCCTCCTCCAGGCCCAATGCACAGCTTGGTGCGTGTGAGGCTCCAAAAACAAATCTGAGTAGAAGAAATGTTGGGGGACAGCGGTTCCAAGACGAAAATACGAATTTCCTTGGAAAGTCTAGCGACAAAGCTAAAAGACACCGCGGGCATCCCAAGAGGGGCCTACGCCTGGAAGCCAGGAGCCGGGCAGGTCATGCGGCCATTTGCTGTGGGCAGAACCAGGCCGACACAGTGACCCCTGTCCCACTGCTCGGAGTTAGAAGGGGTCACCTGGAGGTACCGGGAGAAGCAGCTGCTCAGGGGACGTTGTCTACCCTGCAGGTCCTGTGGTCTCACCCAGTGCCGGCCTGCCACCAGGGAGAGCGCGGGGAGGGCTCTTTATTTGCTAAATAGATGAACGGAAGCGGCCCAGGCTCTGGTCAGCGGGCAGGCAGGGGCTGGAGGCGGGAGACAGGGTCCTGCGAAAGGAGGACGGGGCCCTGGGGGAGGGGAGCGGAGCATGTGGGCCGGGAGGACCCAGAGGCGTGGGGGAGGGGCGGAGGACCCGGGCTGGGGCGGACCGCCGCGCTCCGGGCCTCTCCTCCGCGGCCGACAGGAGGCGGAGTCGCCGTCGCCGCCGCGACGACTGAAGGGGGCGCAGAGCCCTTCGCCGCCGCGCCGGAGGCTGGGGGAGGGGCCGGGAGCCGCCCCGCCCGGCAGGGACCTCCCGCCCCCCGGACCGAGCGGCGCGCCCATTGGCCTGCCGGGCTCCGCGCGCCGCGCCCATTGGCCGGCCGCCGTGAGCAGCACGCGGCACCGTGGCGGGCGCGCAGTCGGAGCGCGGCGGGCCGGCCGGAGGGCCCAGGGCGGCGGGGCGGCGCGCGGTGGGCATGGCGGGCGCGGGCTGCGGCGGGCCGACTCGCGCTGGCTGCTGTGCGGAGGCCAGGGCGGGCCGCGAGCCGCCTCGACCTCGCCCTCCTGCCCTGGCTGCGGCCCCCCGGGTCCCGGCGCCCAGTGCCCCGGCACTCCCCGCTCCGCGCCCGCCGGCGGCGCCGAACTCAGCGCTCACCTGTGGGCCCGCTACCAGGACATGCGGAGACTGGTGCACGGTGGGTGAGCCGGAGCGGGACGTGCGCCCGGGGTGTCTCCCGCGGGGCGGACGGACGGACGGACCGAGCGCCAGGACACCGCCCCCAAGCCGTCGCGGGCGCAGCTTCTCTCGGGAAGCGCCCGGTGGGGCTCGCCGGGGCCCGGGAGCCCGAGGGCCGGGCGGCTTTTCGGGAGAGGCTCGGGCGGGAGGTTTGTTCCCGGCTCGGGCTACAAGAGCTCGTGGCTCCCATAACGGGAGCCAAAGTGCTAGCCGCCCCTGCCGTCTTCCTTTGGGGTCCCGCCTGCCGGGAGGCCACCGCGGAAACGCCCCCAACCCCTTGTTCTGCGCCGGCCCGCAGTTGGGGCGGGTGTGCTGCGGACAAAGCCAGCGAGCGGCGCTGGCCTGGACGGGTTCCTGGGGGCGGCCCGACCTAGGCCGACGCTGGCTGGACTTTTCAGACACACCTCTTGATTTCGCTCTGGAGGTCCAGCGCACTCGCAGCGCGCCAGGCGAGAGGGTTGGAGAAACGAGAGCAAGTTCCCCCAGTCGCCTGGAATCCAGAAGGGCTGCTACAGCCTTGACCAGGGCTGCACGTAACCAGGGGCGCTTAACCTCTGGCTCCTCTCCCTCCCTCTGTGAAACGGGATGATGAGGCCTGAGGCCCCTCTCAGCAAGGCCAGCCTGGGGTGCACTAGGGAAGCCCAGGAGCTGAGAATGCCGGACATCTGCCCACTCGTCCGGGTGTGTCAGGTGGGGTCCTGCCTCTACAGCAGACAGATGTGGTTTGGGTCAGGGCCCTATCACCAGCTGGGTGGCCCTCAGCAAGCCTCATCCTCTCGAATCTCAGTGTCCTCAGCACAAAACAGTCCGGGGACCTTTGTCACTGGTTGTAGTGATGACTGGAAAAGAGCCAGGCCAAGAATGGACAGGGGAGCTTCCGGAGGAGGAACCCCCAGGGGTGATGTGGCTTTCATTGTCTGATAAGACAAAGTAGCCCTGTCTGGAAGATCCCAGTGCACTGGACAGGGGCCTCCACTGCAGCTGTGTGGAGGCCTGGGGAGTGGAGGGTGGCAGAGACACACTTCTTGACAAGCTGAAGGCAGAATAGTGAAGTCCCCTGAGGACGGGTGGTTGAATGGTTGTTTTGAAGCCTTTGGGCCTCTATCAGCCCTCGAAGTCCTGGGTTGAATTTACCTCCATGGAGGGGCAGGCCTGGGTGCTATTTAAGAAGTCTGGGCTGGGTGCGGTCACTCACGCCTGTAATCCTAGCACTCTGAGAAGCCTAGGCAGGAGGATCGTTTGAGCTCAAGAGTTCAAGACCAGCCTGAGCAAGAGTGAGACCCTGTCTCTACTAAAAATAGGAAAAAAAAAATTAGCCAGTCAACTAAAAATAGAAACAAAAATTACCAGAGCATGATGGCTCACACCTGTAGTCGCAGCTACTTGGGAGGCTGAGGCAGGAGGATCACTTGAGCCCAGGAGTTCGAGGTTGCTGTGAGCTAGGCTGACGCCACAGCACTCACGCTAGCCCAGGCAACAGAGTAAGACTCTCAAAAAAAAAAAGAGGAGTCCCTTCTGGGTCTTGAGCAGCCTACCTTGGAGGTTTGGGGGCAGGAAAAAGGGGGGTCTACTGAGCATTGTCTTCCATGGCCTGCCTGCATCTGTGTGGATCCTCCCAGACCCCCTAAGCTCCTCTTCCCAAGGGGCCAGGTCATTTCCACCACATGCCATGGTGAGCACCAGGACAAGCCAACTTCACAGCCCTGGGCCTTGACCCTCTCCATGTGGGTGAGATTCGGGGAGGTGACGCAGGCTTAAGGCTAATGCCTATGGCAAAACTTTCTCAGGGAGTCAGGCTCCAGACCAGCCCCTGGGCCCTGAGAGCAGTGCAGCAAGACCACCTGGTCTCAGCATGGTAACTTTGGAGGCTAAGCTGAGGGACACAGTGATTAAGGAAGATGGGATAACCTGAATGCAGATCTGAACTCCATTGCATACTGGTGGGTAGCTTGGAGCAAGCGACTTCACCTCTTTGAGCACCAGTTTCTTCCTCTGAACAATGGAGGAATAAGTGTGACTACCTCACAGGATTGGAGTGAGGATTAAATAAGACAAAGGCACCCACAAGTGAGTGTCATGGCTGCCAGAGGAGTTGGCCCCTGGACCTGGAATCAAGGGTAGGTGTATTGGGAGCTTGGGGCTGAGGAGTAAGAGCATAAGGTGGCCATATGGGTGGCAGGCCAGTGCCAGGTTGGGGGCACATCCTCACCTGGCCCTACACACCACCACTACCCTGTGGAAGGGAGTGGGACCCTGTGGCCCCCTGAGCTATGATTTTCTTGGTCCAAAAATCAGGTCAGGAGGCCAAACCCTGTGGAGTGCTTCCTCATCCTGCTTTGTCCTGGGAGGATTGTCTGTCCCTGGGCCCCTTGGAACATCCCCAAGGGCACGGGTGAAGGCCTGGTCTTAGCCAGAACTCTGTGCCAGCAAGAGGGGCTTCTGGACACTGCACCAAGAGCCACAGTCACAGCTGGTACCCAGGAACTCAGGGCCATGGGAAGGGGAAGGCTCAGGGTCCTAGTGACACCAGGCGAGGGGCATCTCAGAAGCATCTCCCTAGAGGGCTGCAGTTGACTGTTTCGTGTGCATCCAAGTGAAGAGTGACCTGTCTGCACCCACGAATCTGCAGAGCAGCCGCTCTGTGCTGGCCTGGAAACCAGCTGCACCTGTTCCCCCACCCACACCCTGCACTTGGCTCCAAAGGAAAGGGGTGGGGGCAGAGCCCTATGTTCCCAGGGGCCTCCAAGGCAAATGCTCTGGGCATGGGAGCACATCAGCAAGGCTTCTGCCTCTTGAGTGCAGCAGCTGCCAGGCACACTGGGACACCTGGGACTCCTGCTCTGTGATTGGGACTAGCTGTGGTTGAAACAGGGATAGTAGAGACTTGGACCTTGTCCCCTAGAGTGACGTGGGGAAATTGTGGATAGGGAGATCATGGGCTTGGGAGGGATGTCACCCATTTAATCCTGTGTATGAGCCAGTACAGGGTAGGAATGCTACACAGAGCAGCACCTTCCATATGCCCATTTTAGTAAATATGTCAGTCAGTACAATTTTTATTATCCCTTTAGAGACAATGACTCTGAGGCTCAAGAGTTGAGGGTGACATTCCTGAAGTCACAGCCATAACAGGGAAGGCGTCAGCTCATCTGGCTGACCTCAGTGCCTTTTCTAGCATATCTCCTTTCCCCGTCAGCTTCCACCAATGTACAGACGGGGAAACCAAGGCAGATGACCTGGGACCCCTGAGCCCATTCTGCTCAGAGCCAACTGCAGCCCCTTGAGAGCAGCCAGGGACATGGGGTGGCCATGACTGCATCCCCAGAAGGGAATAGCCTGTGTAATGGCCTAGAACCCAAATCACATGTCCCACCTGTCGTAATTAACAATGTTCCCTGGCTAGAGCCAGCAAATGTCATTAGGTGGGCTGGCGGGCAGCTGAAATCCAATTAAAGGGGCCTTGCTCTCTAGGCTGTGGCAGGTGCTCAGAGCTGGCAGCCTGAGCAGTAGAGGGGCTCCCTACCCCACTAATGTTCCTGAGCCCCAGTGCGAGCTGCAGGCGAGGTGGAAACACAGCTATAGCCTCAGCCCCCTAGTCTGGCCAAGACAAAGCCAGCACCCTCTAGGTTGGAGTCCTCAGTCCCCATGCTGTCCTCACACCCCCAGGGAGCTTGGGAGATGGCCAGTGGGCAGCCGAGTAGCTAAAAGAGGAAGAGAGGAGGTTCTCTCCTACAGGGATGAGACAGTGGTGGTTCTGAGCAAGGGAGAGGATTTGCACTGTAGACCGTCCGAAGGGAAGCTGTTCTGCGGCTAGACAGTGAGGAGTTGAGTGTCCACATGCCTGCAGCGTGCTGCCAGGGTTCCAGAACAGCTGTGTGTCTAATGGGGCTTTGTGGTGAGAGCCTGGAGGCGGCACAGGCTCAGTGCCTCTGGTGGGCTGCAGGTTGGGGTATAACTGGGGGACCCGAGGGGAGGAGCTCCAGCCATGGGCTTAGTCCACCACCAGCTCTGCCTTACCCCAGTGATGTGACCCGGGGCAGATGACTTCTCTCCAAGCTTCAGTTCGACCATCTGTAACTCTTAGCATTAGGCTAAGAGTTGCCTTTGTGAGGCTTACAGAGCTGGGCACGCACAAAGTACACAGGAACTATCAGCTGCTGTGGTGGTGGTCATCATCACCATTGTACTACCTCCTTGCATCTCCTTTAGACCTCCTGCCCCCTGAGGTCTGCAGTCTCCTGAACCCGGCAGCCATCTACGCCAACAATGAGATCAGCCTGCGCGATGTAGAGGTCTATGGCTTTGACTACGACTACACGCTGGCCCAGTACGCAGATGCACTGCACCCCGAGATCTTCAATGCTGCCCGTGACATCCTAATTGAGCACTACAAGGTGAGACTAGCCAGGCACGAGGCCCATGCCACCACCAGGCCCCAGAGGCTGGCAGGGTTCAGGTTGGCCTAAGCCCAAGGCTGAGTCATGGGTTCCCCTGCCTGGCAGCTGCTCTGGGCAAGTAGCTGGATTGACCCCCACGGTGGCAGTCCAGTCAGCAGGTGTGGTGGTGCTACTGGCTTAGGCCTGGCCCTCTTCCCCCCAACAGTACCCAGAGGGGATTCGGAAGTATGACTACAACCCCAGCTTTGCCATCCGTGGCCTCCACTACGACATTCAGAAGGTGAGTGGCTGGACAGTTACAGGGGCTACTTCCTTAGGCCCCTCTCCTCTAGAGGTGTTTCCTTACCTGTCCATCTCCTTGGCCTCAAAGCTGTAGCCTCCTCTTGGTGTGCACATGCTCCCTTGGGTACCCTACAGCTGGGGCTGTGGCGTGGGGTAGAAGAGCTGGCTCGGCCAGCAGCAAAACTACCTCAACGCCCGTCCTGGCCCCTGGTGCCCCCAGAGCCTTCTGATGAAGATTGATGCCTTCCACTATGTGCAGCTGGGGACAGCCTACAGGTCAGTGCTGACTCTGCCCCCACCCTGCCCCAGCCCATGCAACTGCCCAGGCTCAGGACCACTCTAGGCTGATGGTGTCTGTGCACCCACTCAGGGGCCTCCAGCCTGTGCCAGACGAGGAGGTGATCGACCTCTATGGGGGCACCCAGCACATCCCACTGTACCAGATGAGCGGCTTCTATGGCAAGGTACCCCTCCATCTGCCGCTGCCCACAGCAGCCCAGCTCAGAGATGGCGCAGTGGATGCTGGCTGGGAGGCAGTCTGCATACCCTGACCCACAGGCTGTACCCTCCACCAGTGTCCCAAGGCAGACTTGGAGCCCTCGGTCTCCAGCGCTGGGGGTGGTGGGGCCAGAGGGGTGTCTGAGACTGTGGCCCCCCCCAGGGCCCCTCCATCAAGCAGTTCATGGACATCTTCTCACTGCCGGAGATGGCACTGCTGTCCTGTGTGGTAGACCACTTCCTAGGCCACGGCCTGGAGTTTGACCAAGCACACCTCTACAAGGACGTGACGGTGAGGGTGCTGGCCCTGCCCCTTGGGTGGGGCAGGAAAGGCCCTCCTGGGCCTGCTGCACCCTCACTGTCCACCCCTGCCCCCAGGATGCCATTCGAGATGTGCATGTGAAGGGCCTCATGTACCAGTGGATTGAGCAGGACATGGGTAAGGGTGGACAATAGCCCTACCGTGGTGTGCCTGACCAGGGTGGCAGGGTTGGCCCTCACAGACCCTTCTTCCCCCATTAGAGAAGTACATCCTGAGAGGGGACGAAACGTTCGCTGTCCTGAGCCGCCTGGTGGCCCATGGGAAACAGCTGTTCCTCATCACCAACAGTCCTTTCAGCTTTGTGTGAGTCCAGCCCCGCTGTGGAAGGAGGAGCAGGGCCAGGGCCCTTGTGGGGTGGGCAGGCCCAGAGCCCCCTTCAGACTGCCTGCTACCTGTACCACCTCTATACAGGGACAAGGGGATGCGGCACATGGTGGGCCCCGATTGGCGCCAACTCTTCGATGTGGTCATCGTCCAGGCGGACAAGCCCAGCTTCTTCACTGACCGGCGCAAGTATGGCCCGGCAGCAGCGGGCAGGGCCAGGGAGGGGGAATGGAGGCCCCACCCCAACGAGGGGACTGAGGCAGGCCAGCCTGGCCTTTGCTCACTGCTCTGCATGCTTAGGGGTGAGGACAGCCCCTTGCTGGCATGTGGCCTTCTATGGAGGAAGGGGAGAGGTGCCCGGCCCATGGCCCTGCCACAGATTGGCAGTCAAGCCTTTCACCCCTGCCCCAGGCCTTTCAGAAAACTGGACGAGAAGGGCTCACTGCAGTGGGACCGTATCACCCGCCTGGAAAAGGGCAAGATCTATCGGCAGGTGAGAGCCATTTGGAGAGAGAGCACGTGGTGGGGCACAGGGCCACACCAAGACCCCAGGCTATGCAGGGACAGCCTCCAAGAAAGCAGCACAACTCCTGGGCGCTGACCAGCCCTGCGCCATGGGGTTGAAGCCAGGGGCCACCAGGGAATGGCTGACAGGGAACAGGTCTGGGTGGTGTCAGGCTGCCTGGGTTTGAATTCCAGCCTGCTACTCGGTAGCAGAGGGAGCCTGGCTTAGTTACCTGGCCTCTGTGCCTTACTTTCTTTGTCTGAAGATGTCTAATAGTGTCTACTTGAGCTGTGGTGTAAAGCCCTGCAAATGGCCAGCGATTGCTAAGTGCCCAGTGAATGGCAATTCTTAGTTGGGACTGTGTACTCGGCCACAGCTAGAATGGGTCTGGTTGGGCCTCTGAACTGAGCCAGTGGGAGCAGCTCACTGGGCTCTCTGGGGAGGTCCCCCTTCCCATCTGTTTAGGATGGCAAGAGGGGGCCTGGTGCTGGGCCGGAGGATTGGGTGGCTGTGAGCAGGAGGTGATTAAGGTTTAGCCCTGGCTGGAATGCGGAAATCCTGGCTGAGCCGGGCTTTTTAGGTGCTGGAGTTCCACAGGCCTTGGGGTCGGGGATAGGGTAAGCCAGAAGTTGGCCGGGTGAGCAGCGAGGGAGTGGTGAGTGCCCCCACCCTCTCACCCCTGCTCAGCCTCCCACCCTGTGACTCTCATGGCTCCCCCAGGCGCAGGTGCATGCCCTCAGCCCCAAGGGCCACGTGCTCCCTTGCCTTGGCATCTGGCCAGGGCTGAAGAGGGTCACCAACCTTTGTGGGAAACATGTGACTCTTTCTTCCCTGGCAGCTTTCAGGCTGTTTTTATGCCTGATGTTCTGAAGCCTCCTCACACTGAGTGTGTTGGCTCCTGCTCTGGTTCTCAGTAGCCTCTCACTCTGAGTCCTGTCTTTCTCTGCCCTCCGGGGGCATGTCCTCAGTGGGCCCACCTGCTCCTCAGCCTCTCCATTTGAACTTACTTCAACAATGAAGGTGACTCACAACCACCTGCTTCCATTTCTGAGGCTCTTGGATGCACAGACTGCTCTTTGCTGGGTGCAAATTCCTCCTGCATCTGGGTGTGGGCTGCTGCCCCTCGTGGCTGCTGCATTCCTGCTCCCCTGTGAGCTCCCCCAGTTGTGTTGGGCTTGCCTGAGTGTCTCTGCCTTGCTTTGGCTCTGGAGCAGGAGAAGCAGATGGCTCCAGTGAGGTCTCCCATTGGCCTGCTGGGTCCCTCTGGGCTGAGGCTGGGGAGGCAGCAAGGATTTCAGGGCCACATGGCCTTCCTTGCTGTTTCTTTCTCACAAACAGGGACTTAAGCCCTAGTCTGGGGTGGGTGTGAGGCCACAGGGAGGGGAGGCCGTAGAGGCACAGGCATTGTGCCAGGCCTACAGGAGCCCTTCTGCAGCAGGCAGAACCCCCTTCCCAGGTGGGAGGGGGAGTAGCAAGAACGAGAGCCCAGAGAAGGGACAGCAAGGCCACGGGAAAGGGCAGCCCACATCCGGCTGGGTTGGAGCTGCCTCTGGAGATTTGGGAGGACTGGAGGAGGACAAGGCACACTTGGCCTAGCAGTGTTCCCCTCCTGTTCCCAGGGAAACCTGTTTGACTTCCTGCGCTTGACAGAGTGGCGTGGCCCGCGCGTGCTCTACTTCGGAGACCACCTCTACAGTGACCTGGCGGTGAGGGACAGGGCTGGGCTGCGGGAGAGGGCAGGGAGCCTTCCCAGCTAGCGCTGAGCCCCCCACCCCATCCACCAGGATCTCATGCTGCGGCACGGCTGGCGCACAGGCGCCATCATCCCCGAGCTGGAGCGCGAGATCCGCATCATCAACACGGAGCAGTACATGCACTCGCTGACGTGGCAGCAGGCACTCACGGGGCTGCTGGAGCGCATGCAGGTGGGGGGGTGGCCGGGAGGCTGGGGGAGGGCCAGGGCTGCCGCCTCCCGCACGCACATGCCCAGCGCACGTCGTGTGTCCCGCAGACCTATCAGGACGCGGAGTCGCGGCAGGTGCTGGCCGCCTGGATGAAGGAGCGGCAGGAGCTGAGGTGAGCAGGGCCTGGGCAGCAGTCCCAGCCCAAGCCCCTCCTGGCCCACCCCTCGAGCACCCGTGTCTCCCTCCACAGGTGCATCACCAAGGCGCTGTTCAACGCACAATTTGGGAGCATCTTCCGCACCTTCCACAACCCCACCTACTTCTCTAGGCGCCTCGTGCGCTTCTCCGACCTCTACATGGCCTCCCTCAGCTGCCTGCTCAACTACCGCGTGGACTTCACCTTCTACCCGCGCCGCACACCCCTGCAACACGAGGCACCTCTCTGGATGGACCAGCTGTGCACTGGCTGCATGAAGACACCCTTCCTCGGCGACATGGCCCACATCCGCTGAGGGCACCTTTATTGTCGGGGCAGGCGCCCAGCCCCTCCTGCCCCGTCATCCATTCTGGGTGTCTGTCCAGACAAGTAATAAAAGTGATCTCCTTCCTGCACACGCCTCTGCGTCAGCACCAGCCGCGTCACTTGACTGTGAGGATCCTCTGGGTGTCGGGGAAGTCCTCCTCCAGGAGCGCATCCTAGGGGAGGAGGGCTACTTGTGGCAGCGCAGCCAGGGCCTGCCCATTGCACACCCCCCACACCCCTGCACTCACGTCAAAGGGTTCACAAAAGGCATCATGGCTGCCAAAGACGGGGTTGGGGACAGAGACCAGGGTTGGGCTGGTCCCTTCTTGCCATGGGGAGAAGTCATCATCAGCATCATCTTCTGCCTGGGAGCAGGGTGGTGTCAGGGGCCTCAAGTGAGATCAGAAGACCCCACTGCACTGACAGCAGCCCGCAACCCAGCCCTACCTGGAAGGTGGAGAAGCCAAAGCCCGCGGGCTTGCCTCGGGCACGGAGGTAGAGGGCTCCAGCCACCAGGCCTAGCAGCACTCCAGCAGCCACCGCAGCCCCCACACCTGCTGCCACAGGCGGGGCCTCAGGTGCCAGCACCGCCCACTGGAAACAAGGAGCCCATCAAGGACCTGGCCAGAGACGTCCCTCTCTCCCACCCACCCACAACTCACGGCAATGGGGATAGCAGGAGGGGCCCTGCCTCTGGCTTCCCCTGACTCACGGACTGTGGGGGTGTCAGGAGAGGGCTGGCCAGAGCATGGATGATGCCATTGAAGGCCATGATGTCCCACACGATGACATGGCTAACCGCAACTGCCCCTGGGGCCTGCAGGGAGACCAGAGTCAGCCGGTGGTGAGGGCCAGAGTGGGCAGGGCAGGGGCAGAGGCCAGACTCACCACAGGGGCCCAGGAACTGTTGTCAGGGCCCATATCCCTGACAGCGAGGCTGAGGCCTGAGTAGGCAGGGAGTAACTTCCCCAGGCTGGCATTGGTGCTTAGGAAGGTGATGTTAGAGGCATGTAGCTCCAGGTCTGGGCCACTCAGCGTCTGTGGGCAAAGCAAGACCTGTTGGCCTGAGCCAGCCAGAGAGAGCAGATGGGCTCAGCTCTGCCCATGCCCTTGCTAGTTACCATGTTGTCCAAAAAGCCTTCATTGACAGGGACAAAGAGTGTCTTATAGGTGAGCTCGTCGTTCAGGAAGTCCAGGAAGTCGAGACCCCGCTGGGTGGCATTGGCATAGCCCAGTAGCATCTGGGAGGGTGGGGAGACAGGGCTGTGAGCAGGCTCCCTCCCCCAGGATCCTAGCTGTGGGCTGTGCCCCCCACCCCGAGGCTGGGCCATTGCACACCCCATAGAAGGTGGAAAAGTTGGCGGTGGCAGCCAGGACATCGAGGAGCTTCCCATTGCATGTGCTAATCCCATCACCCACAAAGCCATCTCGGCATCGGCAGGCCACATCTGCAGGAAAGGCTGGTCAGTGGCTCGGCAGACTGGTGGGAAGGAGCAAAGCCAGGGAGTGGGGCTTGATGGGGTAGACACACCTTGCACACGGAAGCAGTAGGCGTCCCAGTGCTCTGAGAGGTTCTTGCGGGCACCCAGGCTGACTATGCCCACCTGACCGTCACCACAGTCTGCCGCAGGGAAAATGACAGGGTGGGCAGCAGAGCCATTGGCCAGCCATCCCATGAGGCACAGATGGAAGCCCAGCTGTAGGGGCAGGAAGGGATGCTGAGACCCAATGTCCAACTCAAGGGGCACCCCCAGGCTGGGCTCCAGCTCCTGGGCCCCACACACCTGCTGGGCAGCAGAGAGCTGAGGGAGTGAAGCAAGGACGGCTCCCTGGGCCCCACATGCCGCCTCAGCCTCTGAGAAGTTCAGGCCATAAGGGCCACCAGTGGCCTGGAGGTGGAAGACACCAGCCCGTTTCTCTGCAGAAGGGAGGAGGGTACCTGGTCAGCTGGCCGGCACCGAGGGATAAAGCAGGGGCATGAGAGCAGGCAGGGGTGCATACCCTGGAAGTGCAGGTCAGTGCACACAGCGTCCACGTGGCAGGGTGGTGGCTGGCCCAGGCAGCGGTCCACAGGCGGCTCCAGCTCCTCCAAACACTGCAGCCCATCACCCACGTAGCCTGCATGGCACTCACAGCGCCGTGTGTTCTGCAGGTGGGGAGAGCAGTGGGAACCTTCAGAGACCAGCGAGCCAGTCTGTGGGGCCTCCCCACCCTGGCTGTTGGGCTTCCCCACCTGCTCACCGGGCCAGTGCTCAGGCAGTCAGCATGCTCACTGCAGCCCCCACGGTGGCCATCTGCGCAGGGGTTGCGGGCCCGGCAGCTCCAGCCATCACCCTCATAGTCGGGCAGGCAAGTACAGGTGATCACTGTGCCTACCTGGCTGCAGTTGGCATGCTCGCTGCAGCCACCATGCCCATCCTGGCACAGGTCTGCCACTGAAGACAGGGAGGGAGTGGTTGCACTCCGTGGCCACAGGGGAGCTGGGGCCTCCTGCCTCCCCATCCCTACCACCTCTCACCTGTGCACATGCGGCCATCCCCTTCATAGCCCAGGCTGCACTCACAACTGTTGCCCTCACGGCACATGGCCTGGGGTGCGCAGGGTGGGGCACACACAGGCTGCAGCTCTGTCCCCCGGGGCCCACCCCCATATAACCAAGTTAGTAGCCCTCCTGGCCTCCACCGGTCCCACACCCTCACTGCCTTCTCCTGAGTGAAGCAGGGGCATGCACTGGTATGTGCAAGTGCACACAAGCGTGGAGGGAGGTTGGACACAAGCACAAGGGCTACTCACCCAGCTGCACCTCACAGCGGGGCCCAGTCCAGCCTTCATCACAGAAGCAGGAGCCAGAGCCCCCAAGGCCCTCATCACAGTGGCCATGTGAGGCACAGCGGCAGGCTAGGCAGAGGGACAGACAGGAGGATAGAGCTGGTACACAGGGTCAAGGGAATCAGGGGGTGGGGTGGCGTGGGGTGGGGGCAGGGACAGCCCACCTTGGCAATTGGGTCCAAAGGCACCTGGAGCGCAGAGTTCACAGGCTGTCCCAGCAAAACCTGAGTGGCACCTACACTGCCCACTGCCGCTCATGCCATCCATGCACACGCCATGGTTACTACAGGGGCTGCTGGGGCCGCCAGGGCAAGCTAGGGGAGGAGGTGGGAGAAGTGAGGTGGGGTAGGGGCTCTCACCAAGGCCCCCACACATGCATCCCCAGCCTAGCCCCACCATCTGTTCCCCACCCATGTGCCCCCACCGCTAGGAACCCCAGCACTCAGGCCCCCTAGCACTCCCCAGTAGGCTCTATACCATCTACACACCCACGCCACCTCTTCCAGCATTCCCTCTAGTAAAAGCTACTCAGACCTCCTACTGCTCAGACCTCCCCAGCCCTACAGCTCCCTAACACTCTTTCTCAGGGACAGTGGTCAGAGCCATGCCTTCTGCTATCATGGGGGCCAGAGGAGCCAATCAGCAGGATGTTCACCTTGGCATTCACTGCCATAGTGACCAGGGCAACAGTTGGGCTTCCAGGTGGTGGTGACACAGTTGCGATGGCAGCCTCTGCGCCAGCCTTGGGGCTGGCCCCAGAGGCTAGGCCGTGCCCAGATGCTACGTAGTGCCAGAGAGCGCAGCGGAGGGGATACCCAGAACTTTGAGAAGTAGCGCCAGCAGGCCTCAGGGCTGCCCTGTGCCAAGAGGATAAGGTCCACAGCCTAAGTTTGTTGGTCCCTGGGCCCTGCCCAACCCCCCACTCAGCCCCCAGCCCCTACCTGCTCCTGTGAACCCTCAGGACAGGGTGGTTCCAGCCCACAGATGCTGCATGTCTTCTGAAAGGGATGCAGACCAACACAGCAAAGTCAAGTGGATGGAAACCACAGACAGGCTTGGGCTCCTGCCCATCCACCTCCGGCCTATGGCCTCCCTCACCCGTTGCAGCAGCCGGGTCTCCAAGAGGTCACAGCGAGCACCAAGGCCAGGTGGCTCCAGCAGCTGGTCAATGCCATAGGCTAGGCCACCCTCAAAGGGCAAGTGCCGCTGCACAATGCGGGCATCATCCTCACCTACCATGAGCTCACCCTGCAGGGGGAGGAGGTAGGGTCCATGGGGGTCACAGGTATACTGCAGCCTCCTATTGCCAGGGCCCCTGTCTCCTGCTTCCCTCATCCAAGCTCTCTCCCCAGACTCACTGGCCGGGCGCGGCTGCAGGAGAAGGAGATGGGGGTCCCATGCATAGTTCGGAGTGGGCCCAGGTTGGGCAGGTCAGATGACAAGACCTGAGCAGATGGAGCCATGGTTGGAGCTGGAAAGGCAAGCTGAGCTGTAGACAGTGAGGACCGAGGTTTGGGCATGCACCTACCTCGACATTGCGAATCACATGGCCCTGCAGAATGGCTGCCAGCTTGTCACGGTGGTCCTCGTGGTACAGCCAGGCCTGGCGATCAGGAGGCAAGGCTCTCAGGGCAGAGTCTGTGGGCCACAGCATTGTGAGGGGCCTATGGGAAGCATCTTGAAACAGGGGCAGGAGTCCAGCCACCTGGTGGGGCAGAGCAAAGGTGTGGCAGTCACAGCCCAGTCAGAAACTAGTGGTCAGAGGCAGGGGGTGGGTGTGGAGGGGATTTGCTGAACCACAGACACCAGGGAGGGGCTCCAGAGACCCAGCCATATTCCCACTGCCACACTCATCTGTGGCCATACCAGGCACATATATGTGGACACACGGGGATAAGTTTGCACACACCTCAACTGTGCACACTGTTGTCAGGTATGCGGGCAAACATAAGCACACCCAAGTACTCACACTGGGAAGCTGATGCACATAGACATGGCCTGTGCACATGTGAGTTCACACAGACGTGTTCACACAGAACGGGTTTGCACACAGGTGGGTGTGCGTGAACAGGTAAGCATGCACACTTGCACACACACACATGCATATGCACACACTGACAGGCCCACACACGGGAGCAGTACCGACAAGAGGCCGCTGAGGATCTTGTAACCGAAGCTCTCAGCGGCAGCAGTGACGTTTCTCTGGGGAAAGGCGCTCATGAACAGCGAGGTCAGGCGGGAAGGGAGGATCCCAGGCTCCCAGCCGTCTGCCTCCGGCGCCCAGGCCCCTGCCCAGGTCATACCCGCGGGACTGGGACAGCGTCAGGCTCCCAGTGTAGCGCGTCAGGCGGCAGCAGCACACGGTCGATGAAGTGCAGGACGCCGTTCACGGCCTCGTGGTCACTGCTCACTACGCGCGCGAAGTCATTGATGTAGATGCTGCCCTGGGGGCGGGGCCCGGGGCGGGGCCCGGGGCTGAATGAAGCTGACTGGTAGGGTGCTCTGGGCTGGGGGCGGAGCCCGGGGCGGGGCCCGGGGCTGAATGAAGCTGACTGGTAGGGTGCTCTGGGCTGGGGGCGGGGCCCGGGGCGGGGCCCGAGGCGGGGCCCGGGGCTGAATGAAGCTGACTGGTAGGGTGCTCTGGGCTGGGGGCGGGGACCGAGGTGGGGGCGGAGCCTGGCTTGGGAGTCTCGGGTGCAGGACTGGGGCAGGTGGGAGGAGTGGCCCAGGGCACAGCCAGCGTTGGGGGCGGAGCTCACGTCCTCTCAGAGAAGCTCGCAAAGGTGCGGGACGTGGGACGTGTGGGAGGGGCGGTGGGCGCTGGATCCTAGGCCAGGGGCAGGCCCATCGTAGTGGGCGGGGCTCACCTCCCTTCCGCTGAGGCGCCCCCTGGCTAAAGGGAGGTGCGAGGGTCTTAACCCGTGCGGGCAGGCTCAGGCGCGGGACCGGGCTTGAGTGGGGCCGAGACGGCGGGCAGGCCGAGGCTCACCTCCCTCTCGCTGAAGCGCAGCGTGTGCCCTGACAGTGCGGTCGCATACTCTTGGTCCAGCAGCTCCTGGCTCCGCAGCTGCCGGCAGCCGACCACGTGGTAGCGAAACGCGAGCTGGCGGTGTGCGCGGATCCGGGCCAGCTCGTCCTGGAGTGGAGTGGTGAGGGGAATGCGAGCCCTGATTGCTGCCTCGGCCCACACAGTGCCCACCGCCGGAGTGCCCATCCCTCCTCAGCCTCGCTCTGGGGGCTGCATACCTGTGACAGGTTGGCCATTAGATCTGTGTGAGGCACGAAGACTGTGAAAGGCCCGTCGCCCCTGAGCTCCTTGTATTCCTGGGGTAGGGGGCGACAGCTTCATTGGAAGGGGAGCAACCTGGGACCAACTTGGAGCTTCCACGGATCTTCTGGGAAAGACTTGGATTCTGAGAGACCAGACCAGCCAACCCTCTGACCAGATGAGGACACCGAGGCCCCGAGAGGGGTGGGGCTTACAGGTTGCAGAGGCCCAGGATGGACACTCACCAGGAGATGGAGGCTGAAGAATGAGGCGTGCCTATCCCGAAGTAGCTCCTGGGGGAGGGGGGGGCGGGGGGCAAGGATCAGCTCAGATTTTGAGTGGCCCCCACAGATTTTGAGTGGCCCCCTGTCCCAGCACTTGCAGCCCAAGGTCTGGCCAAGGCAGAAATGGGGAAAGGAAAGCTGGGGGGTCTGAGCTGGGGTCAGGAGTAGTTTCATGGATCACATCTGGGATCAGGCCCAGGTAGAGTCAGGGGTCAGGCTCAGGATCATGGTCAGGGCCAGGATCAGGATCAAATCTGGAGTCTTAGCCAAGACCATGGGATCAGGCCCATGGAGCATAGCCAAGACCAGATCAGGGCTCAGTCTTGGGTGTCATTACCAGGCCAACTCGGGCACGGCAGGTGAAACCATCCCCCACGGTATGGGCTGTGTCACAGGTACACGTCCTCTGGCCATCCCCTGTGCTTTTGCACACAGCATAAGGGCTGCAGCCTCCATTGCTCTGAGGCAGGAACAGGAGAGGAAGGTATCAATGGCTTCCAAGACCCCTCTATTCCACCCAACCCTGTGGAAGAAGCCATGAAGGTCGCAGAGCAACCCCCAAAGCCCCATTTCCTACTGATCAGGCAGACTTTTGAAAGGAGTCTAGCCCACCCTTCAAAGGCCCTTAGGACCCTGCTGGGGTAAGAAGGGCTGGTTCCTGCCTCAGTCTCCTCTCCCTGCAAAATGCTGTAGGACTGGGGGCCTGACCTGAGAGCAGGGGTCCAGGAGCTCGCAGGTCCGAATGCCATCTCCACTGTAACCCTCTCGGCAGATGCAGGAGACCTGTCCCAAATCCTGATCAGTGGGGCTTCTGGGAGCCAAGAGCTGGCCAGCACCCTGGATAAAAGCATCACCCCCTCCCTGAGCCTGCTCTGAAGGGTGGCCCCACCCAATGAAGGAATGGCACAGCCCCAGCATCCAGCCCTGCCATGCTGACCTGCTGGGGGCCTGTGGGGATGCATTCGGCATGACTGTGGCAGCCCCCGTGGTGGATGAGACAGCTGTTAATCTCTGGGGAAAGAGACACAAGATGGGGGTGGCCCTTAGTCCTTCTCTTCATCTGTCCATCTGTATCTTCAGGTGCTCATTCCCTCCTCTCTCAGCCTCCCAGCCCCTTCCTAGGCTCCCTCAGATCCCTGAAGCCAGACCCCCAGCCCCACATGCACCTGGATTGGGGGCCCAGCCTCACCCTGGCACAGCTCCCCGTCGCCCATATAGCCATCCTGGCAGGTGCATGTCCGCTGCCCAGGCGCCACCTTGGTGCAGTTGGCATAGGGGGAGCAGCCCCCGTGGCCATGGACACAGGGGTCCACCTCTGCGGGTAGATGGTCCCAGAGAGTTATGAGGAGCAGGCATGCGGGGGGTCGGGGACAGGAGAGGAGGGCATGAGACAGGTTAAGGTCAGAGAGGGAGTAAGCCCCGAGATGGGACAGTGATAGAGGCTAGACCTAGACAGAGTGGAGGAGGCTCTGTGGGGACAGCCACCCCAACATTTCAGGGAGGGGCCCCTGGCATCCATGTGGCTGGACCTGAACAGTAGGTGCCGTTGCCTGAGTATCCCGCGGCACAGACGCAGGTGGGGGCTCCGGCAGAGTCCTGCACGCAGCTAGGAGGACAGCAGCAGCTCAGCTGTGCCTGCCCAGCCCCTGCCCTGACCCCCAGGCTCCCTCCCACCTGCCCCAGGCTGGGCCCACTCACTTGGCATTGGGGTCACACTTCTTGGAGCACTGAGGGCCAGTGATTTCTGGAGGGTAAGAGGATGGCTCTGGTCATTCAGACCCAGGAATGGCCTCCCCAGTAATCACTCACCCTCCACCCTTGGGACCCACTCTCACTCTGGTCACAGCGGAGGCCCTGCCAGCCCACATTACAGACACAGCTTCCATCTCCTCGCAGCCCCTCCTGGCACAGCCCATAGGCACAGTCACACACTGCAAGTGGGACAAGGGAAGACAGGAGTTACTCAGTGCCATTAGCCAGCCCTCCTCTGCCAGGAGCCCCCCACCACCCCTCTGCCCTCGCCCCAGACCTCACCTCCAGTGCAGTTGGGCCCATAGCGGCCCAGCTCACACATCTCACAGGCTGTCCCGTGGAAGCCCTCGTGGCAGCGGCATTCCCCACTGCCCAGGAGCCTGTCCTGACACTGCCCGTGGCCCGAGCACACTCCCCCAAGGCCCCCTGGGCATGGCTCACACAGTGTGCCAAAGAAGCCAGGGCAGCAATCGGGCACCTGTAGGGGACAAGAAGGAGGGAGAGGCCCAATACAGGCCAGGACAGATGTCAGAGGAAGGGAAAGGAGGCATCTTGGGGCCACAGGGCCATAGAACAAAGCAACTTGGAAACCCAGACCCAGGGATGGGCAGAAAGAGAGAAAAGTGGCATGAAGAAAGCCTTCTACAATTCCCCCCAGCAGGGGTGGGGAAACAGAGGCTCAAGCAGGGAAGAGCTGAGCCCTGAAACCACAGTAAGGGTCAGAGCCAGGCTCAGTTGCTGCCCCTGGGTCTTGGCTGATGGAGTCACTCAGGACTGAGCCCCTTTCTCCCTCTCCCCATTCCCACTCCTGAGGGGGTAGATACAGGACAAACACTAAGCCCTCCAACTCCAGACCTCTCTCCCCTCCCCTTCTTCTGGGTCTTTGTTTCATGGACTTTACCCCAGTCCCAGCCCAGCCTCTGCCCTTGACATCCAATCCGGGCTCTTCTCCTGGGCCCCGACCCACTCCCGCCTCCTCCTCTCTGGCCAGACTTGGGGTGGGGGCTCAAGACGAACCTGGATCTTCTTGGCACACGTGTAAGAGCAGCCCCGGGAGAAGGAGAAGCCAGATCGGTAGAGACAGCTCTTTTTGGGTGTGTCCTAGAAACAGGGACAGGCAGGAAGAGTCAGCCAGGGGCTTGGGCAGGCGCAGGGCAGTGCGTGGGGAGAAGACAAACGACAGGTGTCTGACAGATAAGCAGGATAGCAGAAGGGGCAGGGAGGGCCAGGCAGGCAGGATCCAGGCCTCAGGCCGCAAACCTGAGTGACTCTGAGCAGACCTGGGCCAGGCCTCTGGGCCTCCACCAGGGAAGTCGGCTGCCCAGTTCCCCATGCGTGGGCCAGGCAGGGCTGGGGTTGGGAGGGGGCGTTGGCACCTTGGGAGCAGCAAGGGCAGGCAGAGCAGGGTCAGAGCTGTGCTAAGTCCAGCCTCACCTGCAGCTGGAAGCCCTGAGTGCAGCGGAATTTCCGGGTGCAGTTTACGCATTTCTCCTGGAAGGAAGGAGGGCAGGGTCCAGGGTCAGGGGTTCCCAACCCACCATCCTTCCTCCAGGGCAGGCTGCCCAAGTGTGCCTCCCTGCCAGCCAGCAGCCCCTGGCTCTTAACTCCCCAGCTGCCCTCCTGTGTCCCCGGCCTCTCACCCGCAGGGCCTCAGCGTGGCTGTGCAGGCAGCGGCTGGAGCCCACTGTCAGGACCCCCGACAGGCCAAACAGTGAGCGGCCAGGGGCCTCGAGCACGGGGCCTTCCAGAGGCACGTGGTTCACCTCAGGCTGGGGGTGGGATAAGAGGCTGAATCCGCCCCCCTCCCACCACCCTCCCCTTCAAGCCGGTGAGGTCAGGAGGCGCCCCAGGGCTGAGGGCATCTCCAGGGATGTGGGGGGCTCCCTGGGGCAAAAGTTGGAGGCTTGCAGATGGGGAGACTCTAAAGAGAGGGGGTCCTCAAGAAGCAGGGGCCCCGGGATAGGGTCTCCTTGCTCCACGTCCCCCAAACCTGGCCGCTGTGGTTGTAGAAGACGAGCCAATGGGCGGGGCCCAGGAGGGAGTTGCGATGTCCCCCCCTCCTTAGGGCTTCCACGGAGAGTGCCTCCCCCAGGACCACGTGGTGTCGCACTGTGTCTGCGTCCTGGGAAGGAAGGAGTGCTCAGGGGACCTAGGACTAGCAAGTGTCCTGGACGGCATGTCGTACTCACTATGTCCCTTGCCATGGCATGGGAGGCTCACCCTCTGTGCCTTCACCCTCCCACCTGGCTGTCCCATCCCTGTGGCCTCACCAGGCTGCTGCTGTTGCCCTCCAGGGAGTGGTTTGTGGGCACGAAGATGGTGTAGGCGGTGGCGGCCTCAATCTGGGACACCAACCTGTGGCGCTAGGGATGGGGGCGGGGATGGGCATATTGGTCCTCAGCCCTGACACCCTGACACGGGGAGCCAGCCAGCCCCCTTCAGACACAGGTGACGGTGACCCCCAAGCATACATTCCCCCTCTTGTCAGCCTCCCTTACCTGCAGCAGCTCGCAGAAGAGGCTGAAGGCAGGCACCAAGGCTAGCTGCTGCAGCAGCCCACCCTGCGTGTCCCCTCGGGAAGGCAGTAAGACCTGGTGCAGAGCATGAGAACTAGTCAGTGTGTCGCTGTCTCTTGGCGTGCCTGGAGACTCCCTGCACTCACCCTGGTCTGGTCATACCTGGCTGAGGATGTGGAGGACACCGTTGGTGGCAAGTAGGTCAGCCACATCTACACTGGCATTCTGCACCCAGACCCTCTGGAAGGCAGCAGCCACAGGTGGGCACAGATAGATAGATGCTTTAGAGTGGGTACAGCCCCAACAGAGAGGCTACTGGGCACACAGGTACCTGCTGGTGGTCCCCAGCCTGGCCCAGGGGCTGGGTCCCACACAGAAGCCCCCTCCCATGGTCCAGCCTGGCCACAGTGGCCCCACTGGCCCACTGAGACACTCACTCAGGATCTATCACATGAGCACATAGACCTCCCCAGGGCCCATGGTAAGAGGGATGGATATGCATGTCCAGACTTAGGTGGACAGATAGCCCCTGGCAGGTGGTCGCTGTTGGCCCAAAGGCATACTGCCCATCAGCAAGGTGTCCTGAGCACATCTTCTGAACACGGCTCTGGGCTGGTCCACGGGAGTCCAGTCTCATCCCATGGAGGCCCTGGCATGGGGGAGCCTGCAGCCACTCAAGCTACCTCCTATGCCCTGCCTGGTCCCCTCTGCTGCCCAGAGCTCACCACATACCCCACTGATGTTGTGAATCTCCCAGCGCGTGGTGGGGCTCAGGGTGGCCACGTCCTGCCCACCTAGCCGGGCCAGCTCTTCCTCACAGAGGGCGCCCTGGAGAAAATGGGCCCTGAAGGGGCACAGTTTGTAGGAGGTCATGGAATAGGTTAGTATAACCTACAGAGACCCTTGGGACTGGGCCCTACCCCAATGGGTGGGCACATGCCAGGCTGAGGACCCTCTGGGGAAGGGCTGGGTTCCATACGGAAGGCTCCTCCTATGGCCCAGCCAAGGCTACCCCACCTGACCAGTTTGGGCAGCACCCTCGGCTGCAGCCAGAAGGCTTGGTCCTCGGGGCTCAGCCTACGGATCGCAGCCTCGCTGGGCACCAGGGCTGTGACTCGGCCATCAATAGGAAGCGTGATGCCAGCACTCTGCATGCACATAGTGAGCGGGGGCAGGAGGAGTGATGAGAGCGGTCCAGAGACCACCTGCTCCAGGCCTCCAGGCCTGCACCCCACCTCCAGCTCTTAAAGATGTCATATGGCACCCCACTTCCAGGTAGGCCTCCTAGATTTGAGCCCCAACCCCAGCATTCTGCCCTATCCTACCTTGAACCACTGGTAGAAGCCAGAGAACTGAGCATTTGCCTCCAGCTCCTAAGGGGAGGGAAAGAGCTGAGGTCACATGCCTAAGGGCAAATTCAAGCTATTCCCCACCAAGGAACATGAGCACCCCCCTTTCCCACCAGAGGTGCATGAGAGGACTCTTCCCCGAGCATAGGGAAGACAGGAAACTTACCCGGGAGATGTCTCCATAGCAGCTGAAGCCATCACCCCCAAAGCCAGGGGGGCATGTGCAGATCCGCTGACCTCCGCCCACTGCCCGGCAGGTGGCCTGGGGTGGGGGTAGGGCAGAGATAAGGCTTTCTATTTGGTATCCATGTGGCAAGCTGGCCCCACTCCATCTCTCTGCCTGTCCAGCCACCCTGTCTAGTCTCATGGGACTGCTCAGGTGTGCCTGGCCCTGCACTCCAGGATCACAGGGCATCTGATGTGAGCATTGGCCCCCATCATGACAGATTGGTCAGGGGAAGCCCAGGGCTGTGGGAGCACCCAGCAGGCACTGCACCCTCAGGAGCCTGAGCTGAGAGCAGGGGGAGCGACCAGGGTTGTGTGGGATGGAGAAAAGCAAGGCCAGGACAGGAAGGAGCTCAGAGTGGCCAGAGGAGCATGCACTGGGGGTGGAGCAGAGAGGGGCGGCTGGAGTCGGGGGGCTGGGCTGGCACATGCAGGACCCGTGGCCTTAATAAGGAAGTATGAAGGCTTTATTCTGTGAACAAGTGAGGGATGTGGTTGGCTTTGGAGTTTAGAGGGATCCCGATCCTGACAGGAAACAGACTGCTAGAGAGAGAGAGAGAGAGAGAGAGAGAGAGAGAGAGAGAGAGAGAAGCAGGGACAGGGATGGAGCTGCAGCCCAAGCCCACCCCAGAGGCCTCCCCAGGGCTCTGAGCCTCACACCCCTCACCAGGCCATGGCAGCCACCGTTGCCCGCCCGGCAGGGGTCGATGGGACTGCACTCGTAGCCATCCCCGGCAAAGCCCAGCTTGCAGGTGCACCGGCTCTGGAGAGGTCAGGAATAGAGGGCCTCCTCATGCCACAAGCCCCCAGCCCTCTCCTCCTCCACTCCTTGGCTCCCGCTGGCTACTGCCCCAGCGAGCCTGCCCAGACCCCAGAGGAGCTTCTCCCAGCTGCCCCTCTTGGAGATCTGTGCTCTGCGTGGGGAGACTGAGGCCCTGAGGGGAAACTGGCTCTCAGGATGGTCCGAGGAAGTGGTGGCGTCGGCAGGGGAGCATCCACGGAGACCTGAGGCGCCTCTGCGCCTGGAGCCCTGCCAGGGCCGTTGAGGCCAGTGGCTTGTGGCAAGTGGGCAGGTGTCTGCCAAGGCCAGTCCCAGGGATGGTGGCTCAGAAACCACCGCCATCCTTGCCACCCTGCTCAGCTGCTCTGATCCCTCCCACCGAACGCCAGTGGCCCTTGGGCTTGTCCACACTGAGGGTGAGTGACCAGTGAGACCGCACCCTGCCAGATCTCAGCTGCCCTTGTTTCTGCATTCTGAATTTTAAGGCTCAGAAGGGGTTTGGAGCTCCAGCTCCCACCATCTGAGTTCTTATTGCTAAGGCCCCACAGGCTGGTGCCCAAAGGCTGTTGTGGGGTTGGGAGGACAGAGAACTCCCTGGGTCCCTGCACGGTCCTGGGCCATGCAGAGGCCGACCCTGAACAAGCCAGGCCTGGCCGCCCACCTGACATTTTAGGTATCCCTAAATGCCTGTCCAAACTTGGGTTCACTAGGCCTGAAAAGCCTCTAAGAACCTGTAACTAGAATCTGAGACTTCTAAGTTCCAGAGCTGGATTTCCATGAGCCTAAAGGCTTGGGAATGTCATTCCCACGGGCAGGGGGCTCTTCCTGTTTTGCTCAGTGTCTCATTCCCTGAGTCTAGAACAGTGACTGGCATGTAACAGGTGCCTGATGACACATGGGAAACCAATGAGTGAACCAACCCCAGGTGGTACGACTCAGCCAGGCAGAACTGGATTCCCATGTGCAGCTGAGGCTTGAGACACTGAGCATGTGACTCCAGGAGTGGAGCGGGGAGAGAGTCCCCCAGAACAGAAGCCCCGACCCCACTCTGCCAGCCCTGGGCCTGCTGTGCCTCACCTGCCCAGGGCCCACGTAGCTGCAGAGCGCGTCTGTGTGGCAGCCACCTCGCCCGTCCAGCTCGCACTCATCAATGGCCACACAGATGCGGCCATCCCCACTCCAGCCTTTGTGGCATGTGCAGCGGTAGGTGCCCAGGGCCCCAGGGACACACTCAGCCTGTGAGAGCCATGGATAAATAACTCAGGGACACAGCGCCATGGGTGGAGGGCCAGGGAGTCCTACCTCGCCACCCCCTGTGTCAGAACTTCATGGAAGGGGCAAGGGTACTGACGTTCTCTGAGCAGCCTCCACGGTTTGGGTGGGAGCAGGGGTTGCTGGGTGTGCAGGAGAAGCCATCACCCTCAAAGCCATCGAGACAGAGACATCTGGGGGGTGGTGGAGAAGGCCTCTGGTGAGCCTCTGGAAGAGGCTAGAGGCAAGGTCGTGGATGGGGCAAACAGGAAGCGTGAGTCCTCACCTGGCGACACCCCCCTGGCTAACACAGCGGGCATGCAGGTGGCAGTGCTGGGCCAGCCCCGTGGGCCCACAGTCCCCCACTGTCTCATTGCAGAAGCGGCCAGTGAAGCCCAGGACACATGTGCCATGCTGGCACACACCCCCACTGCCTGGACGGTTGTCACAGAGACCATGGACACAGCCGCAGTCTGCAGGGATGAGATGGGAGCAAGGAAACTGAGGCAGGAGGCAGGGCTGGTTGGGAGCCAGGATGGGTTGGTGGGGGCAGGTTTGGAATAGGGCAGCCAGTATAGATTTTACTTCAGGGTCACAAAATCAGAGGTCATCCCAGACTTGATGGACAGGTGTATGAAATGTGAGGGGCATTCTGAGCTTTCAGTCATCCTATTCTAGCTATCCCGCCCTCGCCCCACCAGAAAGTTCCTTGATGTGTTTGACCTAAATCCTGCATGCTTCAGATTAAACCACAGTTCTCTTCCTGAGACGGATGAGGGAGACAGCATCGGTTTCTGTTCCTAAATCTTCCTCCACTCCCTCTGGTCTTCATTTCTCCTCCTGGGGCCCTGTTGTCCTTCTTGGAGCCCCCAGACCCCTTTCTAAGCAGACCCTCTTTCTCCCAGGAGGCAGCCGAGGCCAGAACCACCCACCTTCCTGACACTGATCTCCATGCTTGTTTGGGTTGGAGCAGATGTGGCAGGCGATACCCTTGTAGTCTGGGAAGCAGAGGCAGACCCCGTTGCCCTGGATTCCATCACTGCACTGGAAGGTGGGCAGGAGGCAGGATCAGTCATCAGTCATGGGAAAGGGACTCTCCACATCCCCTTCCCCAGCATCCCCTTCCCCTCCATGGGTTCCTGCTCCCCATAAGAGCTCACCCTGGAAGGGACCTTCAAAATCACTGATGCTGCCAAAGACCTAGCCCCCTAAAAGGCACCTGGCCCTGCAGGCATCATGGGTGACTTCTGCTCAACCTAGAAACACATAACTCCTGTGTTCTTTCATAGCCAAGCACTAAAGTAACCTTGATATTACAAAGTGGCAAGAACAGAACACAAAAGAAAACTATTGACAAGTTGCCTTTTTGAAAATAAATGGAAAAATATCTAATTATTTTTAATTAAAATATGAGAAATAATTTGATCTAATTTTCATTGCCTAGATATGAAGACCCCAAGTCCAGAGAGAGGCAGGCTTGGCCCAGACACAGAGCCAGTCACTGGCCAACTCAGGACGGAATCCCCCACGCCTCCCCCAGGGGAGTGTGGGACTCACATTGCCTTTGCCATAGCAGGGGTTGGAGAAACCCCCAGGACACTGTGTGCAGTCAGGCCCAAAAAATCCTTTGCAGCAGCCAAGTTTCTGTAAGAGACAGAGCATGTCTGAGGGTCCCTCTGGGCCACAATCCTCCCTGCCCAGGCTGCTTCTGTTCCTTGGTCCCATCTCTAGAGCAAGGGAGTGGGTAAGGCCCCTCCGTGACACCCTTCCCACCCTTGAATGGCAGTGCCACTCCCTGAGGACAGCAGCCTCCAGCTGGAAGGCCCAGGTGGGCAGCAGGTGTGGGCTCACCGTGACAGTCTGGTTGCAGTAGCTGGCACAGCCCTTCTTCAGCATATTGAGCCCAGTAGGGTCATGGATGTAGACACACTCCTTGGGGTAGAGGTCCTGGGGTGGGCCACACAAGGCCGGTCAGAAGGTGTGGGTCTTGGGCCAGCCCTTTGCAGCCCTGGTCAAGGGACCTCAGCCGCCTGGGTCCAGGGCTCCCATCCTCAGTGGGGCTGTGAGGCCCTGAGCCTCCGGGTCTAGCCTGGCCTTCCCGCCCCTACTCCCGTGCCATGACCCAGGGCAGACACCTCACCAGGCAGCCATGAGTCAGGGGCCCTGAAGGCTGGGCCAAGGGGTGCTCACCAGTCTCACACTGTGGGGGGGGCACATGCTGGTGTTCAGGGCTTGGCAGTCCACACAGGAGCCCTGGGCAGGGTGCGGGGGAGAGGGGGGAGGACGGGGAGAGAGGCTAGTCACTGCTTATTTACTTAGCAAAGCCTGAGAAAGTGACATGAGCCGAAGCCTGAGGGACAGGACAGCCCAGGCTGGCATCATGGGCAGAGGCCCGAGCTGGCGTCCGAGAAAGAGCAGGGCGGTGGGGGCAGGGTGGGTGTGTGAAGAGGGTGGCGAGAGTTGTCTCGAAACAGAGTCCACAGGGCTGGGAGGGTAGGGTGTGGGGGAGCCCGGGCGGGCCCCGGGGCGTCTGCCGGCTGGGGGCCTCTGCCTGGGGAATGGTGACTGGCCCTGGCCGGGGCTGAGGCTCACCGGCACGATCTTGTGCTGCTCCTCGCTGCAGTGCTTGGGCAGGATGGGCAGGATGGTTGGGGGCAGCAGGATGCCCTCCAGCATGTGGATCACGCCATTGGCAGCCTGCACATCCACTCTCCGCAGTGGGACCCCCTCAGGCCCCAGCAGGATGCGCCCCTGCGGCAGAGACGCTCTGTGCCACCTCAGCCCAGCAGGCCCCGCCCGGCCCTTACCACCTGCCTCCGCCCCTGCAGAGCTGGCAGGGAAGGTGAGGGTGGAGTGGCTCAGTGTGATGTTGAAGGCCTGACCTGCTGTGCCCGCCTCTACCCTCTGCACTAGCCGGCAACTCTGTGGCAGTCTCCGGGCCCTACCCACGTGGTTTCCGCCACACAAGAGTCCGCCTGCCATACGCTGACCCTTCTCCTCCTCAAAGTCCAGCCCCTGCCCCCAGTGGGCCCCAGGAGAGGAATTTGATCTATGCCTGCTTTCCACAGGAGCCCACCAGGGTCTCGCACAGCGTCCTGCCTGCCACAGGGCTCAGAGCACACGGGCAGGCCTGAGAGAGGCCGAGTGACTCCGGTCATCACCAGCCCCTGCACTGGTCTGTTCGTCCCAGATGTCCATGGATCTCACCTCCTCAGAGATGTTCACGGCCAGCACCTGGTTTGCCATGGTGAGGACCCGACCCTTGGCAATGAGCTTCTCAATGGTCAGCTGAGTGAGGGACAGTGTGGCTTTAGGCTGGGCACTGGCCACGCCTGGCGGCCATGCCCAGTCCTGCCTAGGTGACCCATGGCTAGGTGACCCCAGGCTCTCCTCTGTGCTGCAGTAGGCCAGATGGGAGGGGAGGAGATGGGGAGGAGACACAGCCCTGCGAAGACCAGAGCCCGCAGATGCCCCACCCCAGGAGCCCAGCAGCAGGCGCCAGCCAGCCACCCTCCCAGAGGACCTCTCACCTGGCCGTGGCTGTAGACATGGTACCTCACCAGCTCCTGCAGTTTGGAGAGACCCTGGCAGGGGAGAGAGGGTTTGGGTTTCGGAGGCCCCAGGGGGCAGGGCGGATGCCCTGGTGCCCGAATCCCCACAGCCCCTCCTGCTTGCAGAGCTCACAGCTGTGAAGAGGTAGATCAGGCGGCCATCGCGCAAGCTGTCCACGGCCTTGTTGCTCGGGGCGAAGACTGTGAAGGGCCCAGGTCCGTCCAGGATGGAGGGAAGCCCACAGTTCTGTGGTGCGAGGGAGGCTCAGGGGGGCTCCATGGCCAGCCTCCACCTCTGAGCCCGCCTGGGCCTGCTGCCTTTGGCTCGCAGGGAACTCCCACTGAGTAAGTGGGAAACGTGGACAGTGGGCCCATACTGCCACAGAGCCTCAGGCTCCAGGAGGGGCCGCGAGCAAAAGCCATGCTAGTCCAGAACCCAAGGTCACCGTGGGGCAGATTCTGGGAAAACAAGGAGTCCTGGCCCGGAAGCCCAGAGGGGCTGGTGCTGTTCCCCGCCAGCTCACCTCCAGGATGGTTTCAAACCGGCTGAAGGCTTCGTTAGAGGCAAGGATCTGGCTGATAGTTCTCTGCAGGAAGGGACAAGTGTGAGGGTCCCAGGGAAGGGGGTGCGGCTGCTTCGGCTGCAGTGGGAAGGAGCTGTGCTGCAGCCCTGGGCAGAACTGCTCCTGCCTCCTCCCTCCCTGAAGTCTGTGGGGTCCCAGGTCACCCAGCAGCACAGGGGAGGGGAGGGAGAGGTGCCAGCTCACCGTGGGATCCCCAGAGGTCCCAGAGGGAGGCTGCCACCGCAGGCCAGTGACCAAGTGGAAGACCCCATTGGCTGCTACGTAGTTGGCCCTTTGGATGTTGAACGTCTGCTGGGGCTGGTCCCCGTACTTGTAGGTGTATTTCTGCTGAGACACGAGAGGTCAGGCCCGATCCCACATGCCAGCCTCTGTCCCGAGGCCCCTTCCCGCTTGCATGCCTTTGCCCAGGCTGTGTCCCCCACCTGTGAGTCCTCTGGCCCCCCAGGCTGAGGTCCCTCCCTTACCGTGAAGCTGCTGAAGGTGACGGTGATCTCCTGCCCGGCCAGCGTCCACCACCGTCGTGATTTCTGGGTCCCCATGTCCTCCAGTATGTGCTGCCCTGCGATGATGTGCTGTCTGCAGAGCTGCTGGGCCAGGGACGCCTGCAGATGCCGGGGATGGGGGCCAAGTGAGCCCAGGGTGGCCAGGCCTCCTCATGCACCCCTGCCCAAGCGGTGGGGGGACAAGATGCTCCCGGGCCTCTGTTGCCCAGAGTGTGAGAGTGGACTCTCTCAGGGTCCTGAAGATTGAGGCAGCACCCAGGGGAGGCGGCAAGGTGGGTGGCCAGCTCCACAACAGGGAGGGGCTCACATTCAAGGTCCTGGAGGAGATGGAGGACGGCACCAGCACAGTGAATGGGCCTGACGTGGTGAGGATCTCCCGGCAGCCCTGGTCTGGGGCAGAGAGGGCGCATCAGAACAGACCTGGGGAGACCCTGGGGGAATCCAGCTGGGTGTGGGATTGATGCCACAGGCATCAATCCTAGGTTTGGGGGAGCTGGGGTCTAGGCTTAGGGTAGATGGAGGTTGGGGGGGCAGATCCCATCATACAACCCTGACAGCCCACTCTTGGCTTCCACAGCTCTTGGGCAGAGGGACAGGAACCCACAGAGTCCACCCTCCCTCCCTGCCAGCTCCGCCGGGGCATGAGGGAGGGCACACACCCAGCATGGCCACGGCAGGTCTGAGCAACAGGGGCACCAGGCCGATCTGGCCGGCCTTCTGCACCTCGTGGAGCAGGTGTCCGTAGCAGGCACGCCCATCGCCCACCTCGCCTTCCTTGCACACACAGCTGGGGACCCGGACAGAGCCTTTAGGGTGGGGCTGTGGCCAGGGCTGCCTCCCAGGCCTCACCTACCCCTCCTGCAGGCCTCGGGCTGAGGTGCACTCGCGAGCACCCTGGCCCAGTCCCCACCCCACTTGGCCCACCTGTGCCCCCTCCACAGCCTCAGCCTCCTGTGCCCACCTGGTCTTCCCACTGGGGGTCAGCTGGCAGGTGGCTGACTTGTCACAGGAGTGCGGGGAGCAGAAGGCAAAGCAGCCCGCAGAGGTGCCGCGGTTGGTGCTGACCAGGCCTGGCCGACAGGTGCAGGAGGCCTGCCGCGGTGGGGCAGCGGAAACACCATGTCTGTCCCCGAGGACCCCTGCTTGGTGCCCACAACCACCCTCCCAGAAGAGGGCTGTCATCCCCTCCACATCTTACAAGTGGGGCCACTGAGGCTCCCAGAGGGCCCATGATTTGCTGGCATGAGCGGGTGCACTGTGGGGACAGTGGCCCTGGCTCACCTTGCCTGGCTTCTGGTACAAACACAAGGTGGAGTTGCTGGGGCAGCCACCGAAGTTGATGGTGCATGGGTCCTGGGGCAGACACACCATACCGTCGCCGTGGTAGTTCTCAGGGCAGTGACACTGAGCCTGCCCCTTGGGGCTCGCCGAGCACCGTGCCAGTGGGGAGCAGGGTGATGGCTGGCAGGGGTCAGGCGCTGCCAGGACAGAGAGGGCCTGAGTGAGCCGAGCACCCAGGGGCCCTGTCGTCCTCACATCTTCCACCAGGGTGGCCAGAAGTTGGAGTGCGTAGGTTGACCTAGGCCTTGAGGACAGGCCCTCTGCACCCCTAGTGATAGTCCTCCCTCCCTATAGATGGCCACATTGCACTTGCAGGGCTAAAAGGGTGCCCTCCCAGCCCTGCTCACCCTGAGCTGGGGTCCCTGGCCTCCGGGCCACAGACTTACCTCGGCACTCACTGCCCTGCTGGGTGTGGCCAGGCAGGCACCTGCAGGTGGGGGCCTCTGCAGAACACTGGGAGTTCGGGGGACAGCGCAGGGCCTGGCAGGCAGGCAGCTCTGGGCAGAGAGGAAAGAGCACCTCGATGGCCCAAGCCCAGGTTTGGGAGGAACGCGAAACAAACATGCTCTGCCTCATTTGCTGTGGGACTCTGAGGAGGGCCCTGCCTCTTCTGGGTCTCTGGACAGCGGAGGTGCTGCATGACACCCCTCCCCTGCTGAGGCTCAGGCCCCATCTCTCACCCAGGTGGCCTCTCCTGTTCTGGCCACAATGGACCCGCTGCCCCAGTGGCACTGCTCACCTTGGTCACAGCGGGGACCAGTGTATCCAGCAAAGCACAGACAGCTTCCATCCCCAAGAGGGCCATGGTTGCACATGCCGTGCACACAGCTGCACACTGGGAGGGACACACAGGGACAGGTTGGACCCTAGCCTCGCCCAGGCACACAGAGTCCCTGCTCTCTGCATTTTCAGAACTCAGCTCAGAAGGTACAGCCTTGGGAGTGCAGAGCTGTGACGCAGGACTGCAGGTGTGGTGGGAACCTGGAGAAGGCACTTGACCCAGCCTGGAGGTTCAGGGAGGACTTCCTGGAGGAAGCCTCTAAGGAGAATAGCATGTGCAAGGGCCTGGAGGTATGATGAAGCAAAGCACGCGTTCCTGAAGGGGCAGTGCAAGGCTGAGGGGCTGGGACAGGGGCAGAAGGAACAGGTGGTAGCTGGGTGTCGGAACTGCATCCCCATGGGCCCCCGGGTAGTCGCTGGCCCTGCCCGCCTGGCAAATACTCACCTGATTGGCAGTCAGGCCCGAACCGGTTGGGGTCCTGGCACTCTTGGCAGGCTGAGCCACTGAAGTTTTCCTGGTGGTAGATGCACCAACTCAGCACGGCCCCTTCCAGGTCCCCCCCCCCCAACCCTGCCCAGCCCTTACCTGGCACACACAGGTCCCGTTGCTGGCCATACCATCCAGGCAGGTCCCATGGCCGTTGCATGGGGTCTCAGCCCCCCCGGGGCATTCTGTGGACCCCCCAAAACTCAGCTCTGTCCCCAGAACCCTCCACTTACCTCTGACCCCAGCAGCTCTGGCCAACCCCAGACTCAGTCCCTCCCCGAGGGCAGCCAGAGCCAGGGGCCAAGCCTTGGAGGCTCTGGGTTAAATGCTCATTAGAACAAGTTGAAGGGGAACACAGGCAGCTCTTGCAGAGGGGGAGCCCAGGGTGGGGCTGGGGAGTGAGGAACAAGGCGGGCCCCTCCTGTACCGTAGCACTGGGACCCCCAGTAGCCGGGGCAGCAAGCCTTCTGCACCACGTCCTTCCAGCACTCGCGACTGCAGCCCGGCATGGACACCACAGAGTCCCCCAGCTGCACCTCGTAGCTGGGGACAGACAGTGGGCAGGTGGTGGGAGTGGCTCCCACCCACAGCCTCCACACTCGGGCTTCCCACCCACCTCCCTGCCCTGCCTGGCTCAGAGCTGAGCACAGGGCTTGGCACTTAGCAGGCGCCCAGTAAGTCCCACCTGCCCCCGGCCCTCACACCCTCCTCCCTCCTAGTCTCTGCCTCCCAGGGCGTCCACAGGTGCGTGAGTAAGCAAGTGCCCCCTCGGGTCCCTGCCGCCCGCAAGGACGGGGCTTGGCTCGCACCGGCAGTCCTGGGATATCTTCTCTGGGAGCTCTCGGAGCCAGCCCACAGGACACGCCCGCTTCTTGATGACCGCGCAGGAGGTGCAGGGCACGTGAGTGACATACTTGGTCATCGTGTCGCAGCGTTTGGACCGCACCTGGCCACAGGCAGGGTAGAGTGAGAGGCCTGGACCCTGCGCCCCGTCCTGCCTCTGTCCTGAGTGCGGCAAGGCCTAGCACCACCCAGGCCTCAGTTTCCCACGTTCAGTGGGAACGCAGTGAGGGTGGGGAAGGCCCTGAGAAATCTGCCTGGCACGAGCTGCTAAGGCCCCAGTGAGTCCCTGTGTTCACGGCCCGGAGGCCCAGAGTCTACATCTGACGGAGTCTGCCTTGTCGCTCCACCTCAGCCCTTGCCAGGGGAGGAGACCGATCCCTGGGGGAGCCCTTGTCCTGAGCTGTGACAGATGTGAACCAGGGACTAGGACCTGGGACTCTCAGCCTAGTGCTTATTTTTGCCTTTCATTTAAACATAAAGCAACAATGATGACAGAGCCCGCACTGGGAGAACGCAGCGATTCCCGCCTCCGCACGGCGTGGCTGTGTGCAGGGTCCTGCTGTGCACTCCAGCCTCTGCCTGCTCTGAGCGTTCCCCGCGTGGCTCCCGAGTGACCTTCTCTGCCAGGGCCCAAGGGCCTTCTCCACTGCCTGGGGGTCAGAGACTGAGACGCCCCGCCCCGAGAGGCTGGGTTCCTGTGAGCAGGGTGGTGATCTGCATGTGCTTGGGCTGGGCAGTCACAGGCCACTGAGCCCTGGCCCAGCACCCCTCTACAGGTGGAGACCTGGGATCCAGGCAATGATGGGCAATGCTGGCAGCTAAGGGGGCCAAGAGCACTCAGACTGGGGGCCAGATGGCTTTCTGGGGTAGGTGACAGTTGACTTGGGACCTGAAGGATACACAAGAGTTGGCCAGGACCAGCAGAAGCAAAGGCTGGGAGTGGGAAGGAGCAAACGACCATGTGTGACACGGCAGAGAATGGCCTTAGGAGAGGCTGGAGGAGCTAGCTGGTGGCCAGGGAGCCAGGGCCTCATAAATCTGGGGCAGAGTCCAGGGCCGCCCCATGAGTCTGTGCTGTGCATGGGGACAGAGAGGAGCTGGAGGTAGGCAGGGGAAGAAGGTGGCCTGGGCCCCGGCAGGGACACATTCCAGAGGACTTGGGGTGGTGGGATGAACTGGGGGAAGGGCTCAGCTCCTAAGTGGGGCATGGAAGGTATGAGGGCGTCCTGCCGCCATGTGGTGGGCACAGGGGGACTGCCAAAAGCCCCAGCCCTGCAGTCCCACTCACGCCTGCCATAGCTCCCAGCATCCACCACTGGGGCTACCTGTTATGCCAACAAAGTCCCAGTAACACGCAGCACTGTGCCCTGGACAGGCAGAACCTAGCCTCGTGGTTCTAGTGAGAGGAAGGGGCAGAGGGAAGGTACGTTTTGAAGGTGTCTGGGGGGCTTAGGGTGTAGCCTAGAGAAGCCAAGATGTTCTCATCTTGAAAAATGCTGAACTCACTGTTGCGATTGGGTGGGAAATAAGGAAAAAAAAGAAAAAGAAAAAAAAAAAACAGAAAAAGAAAACTGCTGAGCATACTGTGGTCCAAAGGGAGTGAGCCTGGAACATCCCTTTTCTAGAATGAATGACAGATGTGTGGCTTCTCAAAGCAAGAGAAAAGGAGAAATAATGCCCCAACACTTTCCTCTGGGGAGCACGAGGCCCTGGGGCCTGTGGCCACTGTGATTTGGCCTTTTCCGCTCATGCCTCTGCGGTCGGGAAATAGGGAAGTGGCTCCGGGCGGCCTTAAAGTTGAGCTGTGTGGCCAGGACGCTATAGTCTCATTTCCCGCCCTGGAGCTCATCTTTGCTGAGCCAGGGAGCAACTAGGAAATTGGGCAACTGCAGGGCTGAGCAGCTGCTGGCTCAGGACAAGGCTTGGTGGGCAGCGGGCTCACCTCAAGGCCCCCTGGCCAGCCCGGCAAAGCTGCCAGCACAGCCACCACTCTGGCTGGGGCACCAGCTCTCGTTGGGCAGCCCTGGATAGGGCTCAGGGAGAGGAAGAGTGCTGTGCCCACTCTGGGGCATGGCCTGGGTGAGGTAGGGCCCCAGAGGAAGCTGGGGCTCTGGCTCCTGGTGTGGACACTCGCAGCACGTCCGCGTGTGTTAGCCTGTGTGAAATGCTGACGGACGGGTAGCCCAGCTGCCAAACCAGCGCCTCCCGGGAGCACGCGTGGGGCCCTGCCTCTGCTCCAGGGCTGGAAGGAGCGTGAATGACCTGAGCCCACATCTCTGTTGGTCCTGCGGGGTGGAGTGAGGCTGGGCCACAGCCCAAGGGCTGAATCAGATCCCCTTCTTCCTGGGGCACCTTCAGACCTGCCTGAGCCGGAGCTCCCTGCCCTTCAGAACTATGTCACAAGTCTGCTTCCCACGGAGATGCTGCTGGGGAAGCTGAGGACACACGAAGTGTTATGCCTTTGGTGAGAAGGTGGATGAAATTCCCCCAAGCAGACACTTTCTGGGGTCCCAGCTCAGAAAGTGGGGACAGTGGGGACTTTCTGAGGCTGAGAGCCCAGAATCCAAACCCTCTCAGAGAGCGAGGACCTCCATCCTGCTCCCCCTGCCCTAGATAGGAGCAGGCAGGGCACAGGGCTGGGTTCGGGACAGTGCCCCTCTCCCTTCAAATCCTGGCTGGAGACCGAGGCCGCAGCTGCCCGTGCCCACCGCGTGCGCTCAGCACTGGGCTGCGCCATGGGCCGTGCGAGCCCTGTCCGCAGCATGGGCCCTCCTGCCTCTGCTGCCTGCGCTGCACACCCCGCTGCTGCCGCTTGCTGGGTGTGTGGCCTGGGGACGCCTCTTCTCGGAGCCTCAACCCTAATACAGACGTCCCTCAGTGTCTGTGGGGAGTGGTTCCAGGAGCCCCTCAGTCACCCAAATCTGCAGATGCTCGAGTCCCTGATGCAACCTCCGCACACCCTCCCGCGTATTTCAAGTCCTCTAGATTACTTCCGATACCTAGTACTATGTAAATGCATGTACACGGGTAAAAGCCTTGACATGTTCAGTAGAAATGCAATTTTTTCCCAAATATTTTCAATCCAGGGCTGGTTGGGTCCATGGATGCAGAGTGCACAGACACGAAGGGAGGGCCGGCTGTTTACACAGGGCCGAGTGGCTGTGTGAGATGGGCTAGCACTGCTGCCTCTCCACCCACAAGCACCCTCAGACCCTCTTCCCTTCCCCAGCCCAGGCTGGTGGAGCCAAGCCCCAGAACGCAGACTCACAGTGGGCAGAGCCATGGGTCTTTGGCAAGGAAAAAACTCCACCCCGAGGTCACTCACTGACCCCTGTCCTCATTGCTCAGAGCATGAGGAGGTGGGTAAGACTTTGAAATTCCCTTGTATTGTGTACATGGGGAAACTGAGTCAAGGAGAGGGCAGGAGTCCACCTGCAGGGCTCAGCATAGCCCTGGAACCCTTGGGTGTTCCCCCATCACTGTTATCTCCTCAGCTTCACATCTGCCTGTTCCCAACTCTGACCTGTCCCTGAAGCTGGTGGCGCCTTTCTGAGGGACCACAAGGAGTATAAGAGAAAGAGCCCAACGGTCGCAGGGGGCCTGGGTCCCCATGCAGGACTGCCTAGGGGTGGGATCCTGGGTATGTCCGTCCTTTCTCTGGACCTCAGTCTGCCCATTAGTGCCACTGGAGCGGCTGTGCCAGGAGGCAGATGAACTTGGCCTCACAGGAGAGGGTCCCTCACCTGGAGGCAGGTCCCAGCCAAGGGACTCTGTCCCCTGGCACAGGGTGGGAGAGTCTTCCAGAAGCTCCAGTGGGAACAACGTCCCTACCGTGGGGCCTGGGTTGACCAGCAGCCTGCGGTGGCTGGCACACAGAGGCCTGGCAGAGGGGCCAGCCACAGGTGCACACCAGGACCCTGTCTGCTCACCAGCATGCCTGGTGAGCCGGGGAGTCATGGGCAGTGGGTAGCGCATGGCATCAGAGTGGGAACGGCCCGTCTCCATCATCGTGGGGCCTTGGCTTCCCACAAGGGGGACAGCAGGATGCACCACCCCAGGGCAGGCTGTAAGGGTTCAAGGGGACGTGCCCGGGACTGTGGCTGGTCAGCAGCAGCTCTGGGCCTGGAGGGTGTTGGCTGTGGGTGACCCTCATCCTGCCTCCAGGCCCTCCTGGGGCTGGCTGGACACAGGCACACACACGTTCCATGTGAGTCTCAGTTCATGGGTCCCTCGGGAGTTGGCAGTGATTACATCTCCAGTCCCCACGCAGGGGCCACACAGAGACCTGGGCCTCAGTCTGGGCAGGGCACCAGGAGGGTGGGCCTGCCTCAGTACCCTCACCCGACTGGGGAACTCTGGGCCGGCAGCTGGCCAGACACTGTTAGATGAGGACAGGCTGACACGCCCCTGCTCCCAGATGGCCACACACAGACTTTAGCCCACAGGGTGGGCACCACAGCCTGGCCACCTGGGCCTGTTCAGAGGAGGTCACACAGGCACCAGCTGCTCTGCATGTCCCCAGACCCATGCCCCCTCCGGGTTCAGTCCCTCCCTGCTCCCACCTCTGGCCGCAGGGCCTGGATACCACAAGCCCCTGCAGCAGGCTCACACTCACCTTCTGCCCCCTGACGAAGCTGAAGCCTGCAAGGCAGAAGGCCAGGAGGCAGAGCAGGAGGAGGCCCCGAGGCCCTGCCATGGCTGGCAGTGGCTGGTGGGCACGCTGTCCAGGACAGAGTCGGGGCAGCCGGCAGCGAGGGGAATGAGCTCTAGGAGGCGAGCACGGGGCAGGCAGGCGGGACGGGGCGGGCAGTTGCCTTAAAAGCAGCGGGCCTGGCCAGCTCACCCCCACAGGAACCCGCCAGGATTTCCTCCTGTGTATCAGCAGCCTGCAGGCGGAAGGGAAGGCGCTGGCCACTGACCTCTGCATGGACGGCCTGGGCACTGTTCGGGGCTTCCTGGCCCAGGACCCTCTTCCTGGAATCATGGCTGGAAGCCTAAGACCACTGTTAGCCTTGGGACCTGGGGTCTATCAGAGGTTCTGAAGCAAATCCAAATGCAAATGCTAACAACTTGCTACCTCTCCTGAGAGCCAAGCACATTTCATCCAGGGATGCTGGGGATTTGGTCTGTCTGCCCCTGCCTCCACCTTTCCAACTTTCCAATTGCGAGCGCACTCACCACGCACTCACCGCGCTCTCTGCCAGGCGCCGAGCTGCCTGCCAGACCACATGCCCTCACCTGCCCTGGCCGCTCCCCAGCTGGTCCTGCCGCTGACCCCCCACACCCTCCGTGCACCCCTCCCTCCCTGGTCTGCCCTTCACCCAGCCGCCGCTGGCCCCCTGGCTCCCCACCGCACTCCGAACCCTCCCCACGCTGCAGCCTCTCAACTCGCCCCACCAATTCTGCTGCAGCCACTTGAGCCTCTTATTCCTTAAAAGCAAGCTCCCCAGCATAGCTGTTACCCCAGATTGTCACACACCAGCTCCTACTCATAGGTCCGGCATCGTCAAGGGCCACTGGCTCAGACGGTGTCCCTGATCCCAGGCTGCGGGGTCCCCCTGTACCTGGTTCCACCTCCTCGCAGCCAAGGCCGCCAGTGCTGCTGTGAAGCTATGAACTGGCTTATTTACAATTTAGCTTAGTGATTAAATTAGCTTATAACTTAAAATTTAGCTTATAAATAAGCAAAAGTAGCTTATCTATCGGTGATTTTCCGTCCCTGCTGGAACATCACTGTGAGAGAGCGGGGACAGTGTCTGGCTGACACACAGCAGACACCCGACTCGGCGTGCAGCGCCGGTGAGTGCCGGCGGATACTTGTCCCTGTGCTGCTGAGGAGACAGGCTCAGAGGGGCTGGGCAGCTCGTCCAAGGCCGCTCAGCTAGTGAGTGTTTCAGATCCAATCGCAGGGCTGTCACCTGCAGAGCTGCCGCCACCACATGGCACAGCCTCCCCCAGTCGGTGCGGTGGGCCCAGGCTGGGGGCCTCAGTGTGCCCGACCTGCCTGGGCACGGTTGTCACTGCTCCCCAATTACAGATGGTGTGCAGGGGATGGAGGGAGGAAACAGCTGACCACAGAGCCAGGTGGCCATTTGTAAAAGGCCTCTGGTAAAAGCCTGGTTGGGGGAAGCTGGTAACCAGCCCCTCGTCCTCCTCCTCAGCATGCCCCATCCCCGCCAACCTGGGGGCCACTGGACTACCTTTGAGGTCTGGCTGGGAGGAGGGTTGCAAGTGGAGAGCCCCTCCCCCTCCCGGTCCCTGAGGCAATGGGTCCCCAGGATCCCCACTCTGCTGGCACTGAGGGAAACTGGGGAGCAGGAGCAGGCCTGGGAGCTGCAGTGGCCACTCCCCACTTAACCTTCCACAACCCGCCTGGCCCAGGGGCCCTGAGGTTCCTCATTGGGCCAGGAGAGGCAAGAGGGGCTCAGGGGCCCCGCTCTGGGGTAGGAACAAGGGGAGGAAGGGTGGGGCACAGGGGCTGGGATGTAACTTCCTCTCCTCTGCCAATGCCCAGGGCCTCGTCCCCATAGGTCCCCCTGCTGCCATTCAAGGGCCATCTTGGGGACACCTCCTGGCCCCCCCAACAGCTATCACAGACTCCGGGCCTATCACAACAGACTGCAGCTCTGGGCGGGCTGGGCCCAGGTGTGACACTTGAGGCCTGCAGGCCCTAAGGAGGATGGCATGCCTGCACCCAGAGGGGCTGGGGTGTCGGGGCTCCTTGCGCTTCACACTGCTCCTGTTTGCCCCAGGCTCATGGTAGTCTCTGGATAGCACAGCCCTGTCTAGAGAGGTCCCCTGGCCTCCCCTGGTCCCAACAAGCATCTGGCCCCGGGAGGGCTACTGCTTCTTTCCTCCAACACCTGGCCCTCCTGTGTCTCAGGGAGGGCCCTGCCAACCATAACCGCTGAAGCCCTGCTGCAACCCCAGTCACCCATGAAACACAAGACGCAGACTGTCTCAAACTCTGCTTTATTGGGAGGGAGAATATAGGCAACAGGGATCACATCTGGTGCTGGCAGCTCTAGGTCCCCTGCTCCCACCCCTCCTGGCCCAAGGCTGGGGGGTTCCTGTCCCTGGGGGGCTTTCCCACTCGTCTGGACCAGGGGAGGTCTCCACTCTGAAACAGCACAGGGGCGGGAGCTTCCGATGTGCACTCTGCCACCAGCTTTGTGATTAGCAGCAAAATACCCACAACGACAGCGACAGCAACAAAGGACTGGACTGGACACTTCAGGAGAACGTGTAAAAGAGTAAATCAGACCTACAGCGCCACGTGCTAACGACGGTCCCACGACAAAAGACACAACACTGGTGTACTCAGCCACGCTATGCCAGGGCAGGCGACACACCCCGGGAGCGGCCGGCACACGCACACATGGCCCTGGAAGGGCCTGGCGTTAGGATTAACTGCACACACACCTTCACATTCTGTGGGTACAGTCAAATCAAGGTACCAAAAGGGAGGAGAAAACATTTTTTAGAGAACAAAAAAGCACGCTTCCCTGCCGCTGCTGGCGCCAGGCCGCAGGTGGCAGGTGGCGAGGGCTGGCCGGGCCGGGCTAGCCGGTGAGCTCCACAGGTAGCTCGCGGCCGCACAGCGCCTCCCACTGGCGGGCCAGCAGCGAGATGAGCTTCTCTCGGCTCTCAGCGCTGGGGACAAATACCTGCCACTGGATCTCACAGCCCTGGCCAGCCCCGGCTGGGCCACCTGGCACCTCCCCAAAGTGGTCCAGGGTGACATTGCCCATGAGGTCGTGACCCTGCACGTCATCAAAGACGAGGGTGAGGGCCTGCGGGTAGGGCTGGTAGCCCATGAGCACTCGGTCCAGGTCTCGGACACGGCGGCCATCGTCCAGCCGGTACCTGTCTCTCTGTGGAGGCTCTTTGGCGAACTCGGGCAGCGGGTAGTGGACGTAGTCCTCGTCCAGGAGAAAGATCTCGGCGCTGGTGAGCAGCAGTGTCTTGGGGCGCAGCGGGCCCCGGCAGCGCCCAGGCGGTGGCATGCCCACCTGGAAGGCTTGCACGTACAGCAGGATGTTGAGGGCTGGGGCCTTCTCTGGGTCAGCCAACCTCTGGGCCACAGTGAAGGTCAGGTCCCCAATCTCCTCCTCACTAGGGTAGGTGAACTTGACACGGCTTGAGTGGATCAGCTCGTAGTTCTCCATCTTTCCTATAGAGAGATGCCACAGGGCTGTAGCCTGGAACTGGCTCACGGTGCAACTAGAAGCCAGTGGTCGCAAGCCACTCAGATACCTGGCCTGAGGGAGGCAAGAGAGGGTGCTCCAAGCCCCACGCTCGGCCAGAGCCCTGCATGACAGCAGCCCAGAGCAGACGTGGACATGTGTCTGCCAGGTGGCTGGGGGGTTACTGGGAGGGAGATGGCTGTGGAAAAGCCCAACATAAAACCCTACCCGCTAAGCAGGAAAAAAGAGGGACAGAAGTGGAAAGGCACTCAGGGCCATCACGTCCGCTGCAGCCTGTGCTGGACAGGGGTACCTGTGGTCTTGTTCCCAAACTCAGAGTAGAAGTCCTTGTCAACAGGCTCAGGCGAGGGTGTGCGTTCCAGCGAGGAAAGCACAACCATGAGGTGCTGGAGGAAGCAGTGCGTCAGGTAGCTGTCACGCGTCAGGCATGTGACCACCTGTACCGGGGAGGAGCCTGCGACAGAAGGGGCTGGTCATGGTCACAGGCCCCCCCCCACCGGCCCTGCCCCACCCAGAGCCACCTCTAGTCCCTAGCAAGTCTCAGCCTAGACCTGAAGCCCAGAAAGCCAGGACCAAGAGGGCCCACGTGGGAAAGCATCACGGGCCGGGGAGGGCAGCCATTTCTCAGGCCGGAAGGGCTGAGATATTTTTCTGGAAATGGATACAGAAGCATTAGGGAAAGAGTTTAGCTTTCTCTCTTCAGGAAGTGTGAGTCAGAAACATCCTGCCCCTGAGCCCAGGGCCCACTCTGCTGTCCGGGCTGGCGCTTGCCGCACGGCCCGCCTCCTGCCCTGGGCCCTGGGCACGAGTTCTGCACCCTCAGCAGTTCCTGAGGCTGCTTCCCCCCGCCCCGGGCAACTGACTCCCGAGCAGAGATAACTCTGCCTGTGATAACACACCCGCTAGGGAAGGTGGAAGCCCACTGGTGACACTGGCCTTCACCCGAAACAGGACAAAGCACAGCGGGTCACTCACCCGTCAGCCGGAAATACTGGTCAAAAAGCCCAACGTTGACTGACTGCAGGTCGCTGAGTTTCAGAACAAAACACTGGGAGATGTGGAAGGGACTGTTATTGTAGTCGGTGTTTTTCTGATGCCAGAAATCTGTGATGGCGAGAAAGGGACCAAGTGGGGTGGCGGCCGTGGCAGGCGAGCACAAGGGACCCCGGTGCGCAGCATGCCCAGCAGGGACAGATCCGCCAGCCTGGCCTGGTGAAGCCTGGTGAGGCGCCGCCACTGCGTCCGCGTACCAGATTCCCACCGAGGCCCTGAGGGGCAGAGGCTGCCCAGCCCTTCGTCACGGCCAGTCCCCAAGCGCTGGGTCCTGGCTTGGCGCGTTCACACTGGTCTTAGGTCCCTCATGACAACCCCAGGAGGGAGGTGCCGTTGTTATCTGTTCCTCAGACAAGGAATCTCAGCCCACTGCAGCCAAGTCACTGCTGCCCGAGGCCACACAGCCGGCTCCATACACAGCCCCAGGCTGCCCTGGGCATGTGCTCCAAGCTCCCGAGTGCCAGCAGGCCCTAGCGCCTACCCTGCAGCGGCTCTGAGAAGTAGCGGCGGAGGCCGTCGTGTAGCACAAAGTACACAGCCTTGGTGGAGAGCAACACGCAGGCAGTCACCTCCAGCCCTGGCGTCTGGTAGAACACCACTGAGGACCACATGAGGTGCCTCAGTTCCTCGTTTTCGACCTGGAGAGAGATGGGCTAGGTTTGGGTCTGTAGGAGAGCAGGGCCAGGCAGGACACATGTTCTGTTCTCCTAGACCTTGCGTGAAGCCAGACCCCAGCAGGGGAGCTCCCCCTAGCACTACCTCTGTCAGCCCCACCGCCCTGATGACCGGCACGTCCCAGGAGCATGCCCACGGCCGCAGCCAGGAGACGCGGGAAGCTCATCTCATCAACACGTCTCTAAACCCAGAAGTAGAAAGGAAGTGAGGGGTGGGAGATGGGTATGGGGTAGGTACGCCTGGGGCCAGAGGCTGCACGGGGAAGCAGGGGCAGAGGACAACTGGCTGGGGTAGGGGTGCAGCTCAGAGCCTCCCTATGTCCTCAAAGATGTGAGAAGCTAAGCTGGGGACCACATGACATGAGAGAAGTCCAGAGACCTGAGGCTGACCCGAAGGCAAGCCTGGCCTCTCCCTCAGTACCAACGGGTGCCACAGCCAGCAAGAGCAGCCCAGGCCACTACCTCGGCAATGCTGCTGTGGAAGAGCTCGATGATGGCGCTCCCACGCAGGCTGGCGATGTGCCGGAGGGACGGGCAGGCAGGCAGGTGCGAGGGGATCTGATTCTCCTCCGAGGCGGACTGGATCAGGTGCTCGCTTGGATACTGGGTGGGGACCTCAACTTGCGCCGGGACCTCAACTTGTGCCGGGGCCTCAGCTAGGGCTGAAGCTGGGGCTGTGGTCTCCACTGGGGCCTCTTCTGGGACCGAAGCTGGAACTGAGGTCTCGGCTGGGGCTGGACCTGGGGCATCTGTCGGAGCCGGAGTCTTTGCTGGGCTTGGGGCAGAGGCTGCTGCCAGGGCTGGACCTGGAACCTCTGCTGGGGCTGGAGCTGGAGCCTCTGCTGGGGCCTCCTGGGGATGCTGGTCATTGCTGCATCTCCCAATCCCCCCCAAAACACCAAATTAACAAGTGGACCCCAAATGGAGATTTACCTTGTATGTGCAACCTCAGATTGCGAGGGGTATATGTGCACTACACACCACCTATGGGTCACCTGGAACTTCCCCACCTGGTTCTCGAGAGGACAAAATGGCAGGGGGACAGTGTCCAGGCCTTTGCTCTTGGAAGGAAGGTTGGCAAGTGGGGGCAGAGCAGGCCATCTGGCCCCCCAGGGTTGAGCTGGCCAGACACATATGGCAGAGGCTCTTTGGACTGAAAACTCATTTTGAGAAGGTTAGCAGCTGTCAGAATTGCCATTCCAGGGCTCAGAGTGCCAACTAAGGTGCCCAGGGTACATGTGGAGGGGAGAAGCAAAAACTCAAACTGCCCCTCAGTTTGCCTCTGGGGCATCCTCAGGTGGCCCAGGCTCTCACCCACCCAGCCACCACTGTACATGGCCACACTGGTCCATTCCAGACACCGACACGAGACCAAATGATGCTCAGAACCTGAAAGCTCACGGAGGTTAAGGGGTTCCCTGAACACATCTCACATAGCCACGCCTGTGCCAAAGCGGGGTCCTCTGGATGTCATCCTCATAACTGGACCCAGCCCAGCTGTTGAGAGATCCCTGCAGCTCTGGCCTTGCACTTGGCCAAAAACCCCAAGAAGCCTCTGGATTGTCCTCCTGCCCTCCTGGAAATGGCAGGGGTGCATCTGCTGGGGAAAGCGGGGCACCTGTTTCTGCATACGGTCTTCACTGTAGGCAGGTTCCAGCCCAGCTTGGGGGTGGCAGGGAAACAGAGATGAGGTACCCAGCACCTGAAGCCTCAGCATAGGTGAGAGGAGATGAGGAGACAGCCAGGCAGGGCCACCTGTGGCACGAGCCGCTCTGCAGCACCTGGAGGCACTGGGGGCTCTTGAGCCGGGCACGAGAGGGGCACCAGACTCAGCTCCTGGCCTCAGAAAGAGGCCAGGAGCCCTCTGGGAGCATCATTTGGGTTGGGGGCTGGTTGGAGGCAGAAGACAGACCCCATGAGATGCTGAGGAGAGGCGGGGTGAGGACAGGATCTCCACTGTCTACCAGGATGGATGGAAGAGAACGTGAGTTAGACTGCGTCCCAGGGGACAGGAGGGCAGACAAATGAAAGGATTTCTTCCCCAGTTTGGGAAGCCCCTGCATATCTGAAGCCAGGAAGCCAGCGACAGGAGGCAGCGTCATCCATATGGGCACAAGGTCCCTGTCAAGCCCCAGGTAGGGGTACGCTGTGGGAGCCCCTCAGAGGTCCTTCTACAACCCCACCCCCAGGCAGTCCTGAGGGAGGGAGTCCAGGGGAAGCCAAGCAGGGCGGGTGGGGGGTAAGGAAGAACGGGAGACAGGGCTGCCATTCCTTCCTGCTCTGGACCTCAGTCTCCCCTAGAAGAAAGTGGCTTGGGATGAGATGACGCACCCAGATCAGACACTCAGACCTTGCCTGGGTCCAGTGGAGCAGGGTGGCAGCTCTCCCGGCCTCAGTGTGCTGCAGCCTACGACCCTCCCACTCACAGGTGGGGGCAGCCCCCTTGGCCCACCACACCTGGGTGGCAGGAGCCTGCGCCAGCCTGTTTTGTGAGAGGACAGCTTTCCTCTTCTACAGCACCAGGAGATAAGGAACAGCCCACACCCAGCCTGAGGCAGTGATGCTGAGGACAGGCGGGAACTGAGGAAAGGGAGAGTGGCCCGGCAAGAGCAGGCCCAAGCCCGGCCCACCACCAACTGCTGCTGCTCAGAGATCACAACATGCCAGCCCATGCCCCTGTGCCCCCAAGAGCCGTGCTTGGTCTCACCTGGCCCTGCCTTTGGCAGGCTGGCCATCTGTGAGGGGACTCTGGGGGCTGGCCCCAGTTGCAGGGGTCTTGGCGATGACCACGGTCTTCAGGTCCTGCAGTGAGGCCCGCAGCTGGTTGTAGATGCGCAGGAAGTGGAACTTCTCATGGGGCAGGACGAAGATGGCAGTGACAAAGCGGTAGCCCACGAGCAGCTCGAGCACGTGGCCATCAGCAAAGGCGCCCCGAGGCTGGGTGCAGCTGCGTGTGGGGTCTAGCAGCACGGTGGAGAGGGGCACACGACTGAGCTTGAAGCTGTTGCGATTGCGACAGTTGTGGGTGCCACGGTTGGGCATGGGGTTGAAGTCAGCCTTGATGACATTGAGATGCTGAGGCGTAAGCAGTAGCCAATAGGGGATGGCGGCAGACTTGACAGCCTCAGACGGCGCACAGCAGGAGCGCCGCACGGCTGAGCAGAGCGTGCAGCTGGCCCACTCGATGTTGCCCGAGTAGTCCCCGGCAGCCGTCTGCACCATGCGCTTGTCGCTGTAGACCAGGTAGACGGGGAAGCAGCCCTGGCTGCGCTCCTGGCAGCCGCCGGCCACCTTATAGAAGGTGAGCAGCTGGCGCAGGAACTCCTGCAGGCTGGTGTGACTGCCGTAGAGGATGGGGCTGCAGAGCATGGCCATGTGCTGTGGCGCGAAGCACGAGCGCAGGTCCACGTGGAACTCGTGCAGGTTGGCGGCGTCCGAGATGATGAAGAGCGTGTTCTCGCTGTGTCGCACCTTGAGCACCAGGCACAGCTCCGGCATGAGGAAGCCGAACTCGGTGAGGTCGCCGTGCGGGAAGCAGAAGACGAAGCGCAGGGATGAGAGGATGTGCTGGCTGCTGCCCCGAGACTCCTGGTGGGGGATCTCGAAGACGGCAATGCCGAAGTCAGTGAGCACGAGGCAGGCGGCAAACTGGCGGATGCTGCCCTGCACGTGGATCAGGAAGCACCACAGCACCTTGAGGATGCGGATGTGCTCCAGCAGGAAGTCCTCGTCTGCGCCCAGGGCCCACTCTAGAGCCAGGCGCTCCTCCTCAGCCTCCTCCTCCTCCTCCTCCTCCTCCCCATGGCCTCCTTCCTCCTCTTCCTCCATGTCCGGGGGCCCCATCTCAAAGTAGCGGTTCTCAGCAACATCCTCTTCCTCGTCTGCATCGTCATCCTCCTCGCCTTGTTCGCCCTGGCCCTCCTCCCGCTGGTTGGCAGCCTCGATCCAGGCGGGCAGCTGCCGCTCGATGGCCTGCCGGATCAGCGTGCTCAGGCGCTGGATGAAGTCCTGGTTGGTGGCAGTGTAGCCAATGCAGGTAAAAGGCAGGAAGATGATCTGGCCAGACCCGGGTACCACCTGGACCTCTGGCTCTGCATGCTCTGGGCTGTGTGGGAGAGGCCAGCTAAGTGACGGGCTGGGTGGGGACACCTGTCTCCCACATCCAGAGCCTGTTGCTGTACCGTGGCCCAGGGGAACCAACCCATGGGTCTCCAAAGCCTTCTATACAACCAAGCCTACTCTGAGACAAGGGCCCTGGTAGGGAGCCACAGTGCTGACTGCTGGCAGGCTGAGGTCCCATGCTTCCAGGGGCTTGGGCCGCAGACACTCAGTATAGTTCTGCCCTGGCTTGGGAACCTCTTCCTGTGACCCTGGGGAGGGTGACAGGAGAGTGCTGTGGAGTGCTGGGGATGGATGAGGACTCTGCAAACCGTCCCAATGTCATACTGCCCAAACACACTGGTTCCACGACAGAAGCGCCCCCACAAAGATTTCTCAGCCATTTGGACACTGCCATAAACCCCCGAGGAGTACTCTAGGGCAGGAACCCACTTGCTGATTAAGGTTCCCCAGGCGTACCCAGTGGCCTTCAGGGCAGGGAAGTGGGCTGGGGTGGGTCTTAGGACCTTGGCATTTAAATTCTAGCTTCTTGGCCACTGCAGCCCTTGCATGTAGGATGAGAGTTAGGAAACTTCTGTAAAGGCTCAGAAAGTATTTCAGGATTTGTGGGCCGCCCTTATGCACACAATCTTTTCTAAATGGCCCTTTAAGAATGTAACTGTTGGCTGGGTGCGGTGGCTCACACCTATAATCCTAGCATTCTGGGAGGCCAAGGCAGGATTGCTTGAGCTCAGGAGTTCGAGACCAGCCTGAGAAACAATGAGACCCCGTCTCTATTAAAAATAGAAAAATTAGCAGGGTATCATGGCCCACACCTGTAGTCCCAGCTACTTTGGAGACTGAGGCAGGAGGATTGCGTGAGCCCAGGAGTTTGAGGCTGCAGTGAGCTATGATGACACCACTGCACTCTACCTAGGGCAACAGAGGGAGACTCTGTCTTAAGAAAGAAAAGAAAAAAGAACATAACTGTCATTCTGAGCTCACAGACTGTGCAAAACAGGCTGTGGATCTGCCAATCCCTATTGTAAGATAACATGCATCAGGCGGAGTTTGGGGATTAGAACTTGGAAATAGACTAGAGAGTCCGTCTCATCTGTGTTTATTTAAAGGAAGAAATAGTACTGTGAACAGACTGGTTACAACGAGCCCACAGCTGCGCATGTGCAGGAGGCCCTGCAGTCAGGCCCAGAGTGCCTCCCAGCCTCTTCCTTACCTTGCACCGCCAACAGCTCCTGGCACACCCCTTAACTCGTCAGAAGCCGCCTGACGGAGAAGGAACACAGTCAGCCCCCACCTGCTGCAGCCCGCCCGGCACTTACTAGGTGCCAGACCCTGAGCCAGGCACCTGCCCCCTCCCTTACGCCCTAAGGAGGCACCTCAGCACTCCCACGCTGCACGTTATCCTGCCCGTACGCAGCAGGGCCGGGATTCCCGCCTGTCTGCCTGGCTACAGCCCACACTCCCTGCCCAGCGCCAGGGTCTCTCACCACTCTCCAGGGATGTGGTGTCCAAGGGTCCAGGTGGACAGGCTCCCAATTTGGTCCAGCTATAGCTGGCCAGCAGGGGACACGCTGAGTAGGGGCAGTGTAGCCCTGACACAGCCCAACAGTCCCTGTGTACTGGGGAAGACCTAGGGCTTGGGAACCCATGGCTGTGTGACCCAGGGGAGGGTGACAGGAGAGTGCTATGGAGTACTGGGGACAGACGAGGACTCTGCAAACTGCCCCAGTGTCACACGGCCATGACCTCGTGCTGCTGCAGAGCTGGGGCTGGAGGGAAGCCCAGGGACTTAAACACACTCCCAAGCACACAGCAAATGGGCCACTCCTGCCTTCCTGCTTTCTCTTCCCACAGCACAGGGAAGGGCTCTGGGACCCTCAGCAGCAGCCACAGAGGAGGTACTGGAGTCACACTGTGTCCCAGACCATTATGGTGACATTCGGCAGAAAGGCCCCAGGGGGGCCACATAGTAGAGCAGAAACTTCCTGAAGGGGACCCCCTCCACAAGGACATTCAGAATGCCTTCCCCAGGGGAGTCTGCTTAGGGGGACTCAAGGGTCATCTGACCTCTGCCTGCCCCCAGGGCCCAGTGAGAGAACTGCCTGTTCCCATCAACAGGGAGAGAGAGAAGAGAAGAGAGAGAAGAGGCAGTGGCAGTGAGGGAGGGAGGGAGGGTTGAGCACAAACCCTTAACTGCTGCATTTGTCAAGAAGACTCAACTAGGGACACGTCCAAGAGAAAGACTGCATGGGCAGAGTACACCAAACCCTGGAAGCATCTGCTGCAGCTCTGGCCAGGCCACTTCCCACCGCAGACTACTTCAGGCAGGAGAGTTGGTCTGGAGAGGTTAACGGTCCCCAGAAGCAGGAGGAGGGCATTACCTGTCCTGCAGGGATCGACTCCAAGGAATCAGAGCATCCCCGGGCAATGGGCCGGTCCTCGGGAGTCAGACTGTCGGTGGACGAGAGGCTGCTGGCCAGGGCCTCCTCCTGCACGAACATGATTCCTGGAGAGACCAGGGCGGGCAGGTGGGGTGGGCGGAGGGGAGGGGAGAGCAGCTGTTCAAGAAACGGGGCTGGGCCCCTAGGCCTACTGGTGTAGCTGGGGGCTAGCCAGACCCCCAAACCTAACTACAGGGTATAGAAGGAAATGTTAAAACAAAAATCTCAAAAAACCTCAAGAAAGAGCAACTACTGCTTATCTAATCTCAGGGTAGGGAGAGGCTTTCTGAGCATAAATGTAACAGAAGGAAGACTACCTAAAAATTAAAATTATCTATAGACAAACTTTTTAATAACCAAGACAAGTTAAAATCAAATGAAATGAGAAAAAAGTGCTTGCAATATTTGACAGATGCATGTATCTATGGTCTATAAAAAGCTCTTACAGATTACAAAAATGGGGGAAGCCTAGAAACCCCATTAAGAGACTGCAAAGAAGGTGAATAGACATTCCACAGAAGAAAAGCCAACAGATAAAACATGAAAAAAACGCTCACCCAAACAGGTACACAAAGAAAGGCAAGTTGAAACAAAAGACTAGTTTTGTGTCTCACTTTGGCGAAAGTAGGACTGACCGCAACCTGCCCGGCCTCACCGGGCAGAGGGGGACGCCAGGGCGCGAGCTGGCCCATCCATCGGGAGAGCCGTTGGGTGATACGTCCAGCAAGAGTCTAAACCGTGTTTACTCCTGGAGAATTTCCCCAATGACATGTTACCCCATCCCCAGACCTGACATCTCTGCAGGGCTCACAGATACGTGCAGACTGTGTCCTCTAGGGCTGCTGAGCACAGGCCGAGCCTGTGCCCAAAGGCCATCCCCACTGACCCGCCCCGGAGCCACCTCCATGGACAGCGGCTCTCCCGTGCGCTCTGGAAACGCGTGGTGTCGTCAAACCCTGCTAAGGCTGTTTAATGAATATAGCCTATTAATTTCCAGATGGGCTGAGGGAAAAGCCTTTTGTTAACATGTTCCTAACCACAGCTAGCGGTGTGAACACTGGGCGTCGGCCCCCAGTTTCGCCGAGGTCTGCAGGAGTCCTGAGCACGCCCGCACGGCCTGGTTCACCACCAGTTGCCATGGCCCAATGCAATGACCCTGCGCGCCCTGCAGGTCATGAGACATTTGTCCAGCTCAGCTGCTGCCCAGCACAGGACAACTCACACAGCCCAGGTCCTCTGCCTGTGGACTCAGGAGGCAGGCGGCCCACGCCCGGCACCCTACAAAGTGAAGCAGCGGGGGCCACGCACACAGGCAGGTCGGCAAGCACACGGCCACGCACATAGGCACGCCCCCACCCCTTCCAGGCTTCTGCCTACGCTGCGGTTCCCTGCTGGAATCTCCCTTCCCCACCAACACGTCAAATGAGATTCACCTCAGACGCCACCTCCATTGCAGACTTTCTCTGTTCTACATTCTACAAATGGCCCAGCCCTCCTGCCCTGTGCTCCCTTGGGCATACAGTTCATCTTCCTAGTGGCTCCAAGTTCTTCAAGGGCCCTGTCTTAGTCATCTTAGGCCCCCCTCAATATGGATGGGAATGGGAAGCCCTTACTGACCATGTTTGTGGGGCTAAGAGCAGTGCTAAGCGCCCCCCCAGCATAAGCTCATGCATGCCTCTCATTATTTATTTACCACATTTCATCAAATCTAAGATGCAGGGATGTGGTGCCATCTTCGTCTTAGCAGAAGGTGTCCACAGGCTGCCCAGGATTCCATCACGAACACCAGCTGGCTGACAGCAACTTTGAGACGCCACTGACTCAAAGACGCATCTCAATTTCAGAAGTCACAAGGTGGAAATGGGTGCATCTTAGAATCGATGAAGTAGGGTGTATCCAATTTAGAGTTGAGAAGACAGCTTCAGAGAGGCTACAAGTTGCTTGAGGCGACACGGCCAGGAAGTTGGGATGCAAACTCGGCTGGCTGCCCCGTGCCTGCTCCTAACCATCTCTCCACATAGCCTTCTCTCAGCTGTGGGCCTGGCTGGGAATCAACTCCGGCATTTTGCCTGTCAGCTCCTGCGGCATGACAGCTGGCTAACCGCGCCCGTGACCACCAGAGGCCAGGTGTTTTTGTCAGTGCCCACTTTGGGCAAGCCCTGAGCACCTAGTTCCTCTGCAAGCAGGTGCCCTTATATAGAACCAGGCTAGGAGCAACAGGTCATCGGTTAGCAAAGCTGCTCCCACGTGGGAGAAACCCCTGCCCATCTAGGCAGGATCCAGTGACACATGGCTGAACAAAACACGTGTGGATGCCTCCACATTAATGAGAAAAAACCAACATTTTCTTGTCTCTACCCACCCAAGCCCTATTTGCACACGAAGAAATGTGGAGAGGGACAGTCTGTCCACTTCCTTCTTGGATCATGGCCTGTACAAACAAGTGGTCAGAAGGGGCGACTCAGCAGATGCAACAGGGGACATCAGGAGAGTCCTCAATACGGGTCCGGCCTTTGTTGTTTCTCACCAAAAGGAAAGAGATGTGCACGCACACAGAGACATCCAGTACGGTTTTATTTACAAGAGGTGCAAATCCGGAGACAGCGTCTAGAAGTCCAATGACTAGGGAGGGGACAGACGACAGAGCACCACTCTGTGGAGTGTCCCCAGGGCATGGAGGGCACCGAGGAAGGGGGAGCTGAGGCTGGTGCTGAAGCTTCCCCGTCAGAGCAGGGGCTGCCTGCAGCCGCAGACTCAGGGAGTCCTCACCCCGCCCGCCAGGGCCTGCGCCTGGCCGGCTGGGCCTCTGCTTGCTCCTTCACTCACTCGCTCACCAGCACATGCTGAGGGAACCCTGCATCCCTGGCCCCGAGGACCAGATGCATCTCCCTGACCCCAGAAGCCTACTGTCCCATGGCTCCCCAACGGGCTTGCCAGTGCTGTGGGGCTGCAGAGGGGCGCTTGGCCCAGCACAGGAGGCAGGTCAGGGAAGCTTCCTCACAGCAACACAGCCCTCCCCAGCTTTTATGTAAAAGAATACAACCAAAAATTCCCAGTCAAGGTTTGACAAAAACCTGGGTACCTGTAATCCCAACACTCTGGGAGGCTGAGGCAGGAGTATCGCTTGAGCCAGGAGTTTGAGACCAGCCTGGGCAACATAGCGAGACCCCATCTCTACAAAAAATTAATAATTAAAAAAGAGCTTGGCGAAAGCAAAACGGGCAGTCGCTCTGGCACCTAACCCACTGTTCCACGCTCATGAATTCTCTTCTGCATCTCACGGTCAACCGTGGCATGTTGCTTGGCGTCAGGCCTCTGCTTTTACATGAGCACTTCTCCCCTTCCTGCCCAGCCCTCTCCCTGCTAGGACGGCTGCAGGGCATCTGCCCACCGCCGACTCTCCCTCTCCTCCGGCAGCGGAGCGCCAGCCCGTGTTCTGGCAGCAGCGAGCATCTCACCTCCCCGTGCCCAGTACTGTATCCCTCTAAGAGAAAACCCCACCAGCAGGATGACCAGGTCAAGGGGAAGGAATGTTTTTCTGGCTCGTAAAACATAGGGACAACTGTTTTCCCAAGACCTCACACCAAGTTCTGCGTCTCCAGGAGCCTGGGCAGGCAGCATTCTTCCCTGCGTGTCCTGAGCCTGGGCTCCACTTGGGACGGCACACCCTCCCCTCTTCCGTGGGGCCGGGCCAGCAGACACGCTCATGGGACCTGCTTCACTCACTCATCTCCGAGGGTGCCTGGGTTCAGAGGTGAAAGCCCTTTGAAAACGCTCAGACAGTGGGCAGGTAAAAAGGACTGGTCTTCCATGAGTCCACGGGAACACACAGCCCATCTTGGCCCCACAAACATATGTTTTGGGGCCAAGTCACACCATGAGAGCCACAGAGACAAGGCAGTGATAAAAGCAAGCTCTCCACACAGGGATCAGTGCTCCAGCCTCAATGAAGTAGCAAGGTCTGGCTTCCCATCAGCAAGGAGCCGACCTGCCTGCACTGCTGGCGGGGAACAGGCCCCAGGAGCCGACAGCCCGAGCCTGTTCAAAGGGCAGCCTCAGGGCCCATGAGACACCGCATGGCACCCTAGAGGAACTGGAGGTGGGTGTCAGAGCACTTGTGAGTCCTCATCAAGCAAACAACAGAACTGAAATCAGGCTGGGCAACCCCACCATGTGCCCCTGAGAGGAGCCACCTGCAGACGGCACTGCCCTCCCTGTGTCTGACCCTGTAGGAAGCAGGTGGCGGCATCTCTCCCCCAACCCCAGCCAGGGCCCAGCCAGGGCTGTGGCTCCACTAGGAGCAAGATACATACACGATTACCTTGGTTGGAGAGGATGGGCTGGGGCAGGGAGGCAGACGTGGGAGCCATGGTGGGAGGGGAGCTGCCGGGTCTGACACAGGCAGAGGTCGACAGCCGGGCATCCTCACCAACCTGAGGAGGAGAGCTGAGTCAGCTGGGAGCGAAGGGAAAGCTCAGGAAGAACAGAGCTCCACAAGGCCAGGGATGTGAGAAGGGAGGAGCTCGTGACGGCTCAGAGGCCCGCGATGCTGAAGATGGTCCCACCTAATCCTTATAGCAGGCACTATTATTGTCCCCACCCAGATGGGATCGGAGGCCCTGACTTGCCCAAGGTCATGAGGCCGGGGCATGGTGCAGCTGGGACTCGGCGGCTGAGCAATCCCACAGCCTGGCTCCCCACGGCCCTCCCACCTCCCACACAAAACCCACCTTCTTCTCCAGGTTGCTCAGTTTGGACTTGACCTCCTTGGCTTTCTGAATTGCTTTCAGCACTTCCACGGTGTCCAGCTCCTTTTCTGTGGTCACTGTGTCATCCAGACAGACCTAGAGAGTCCAGAAAGTAGCATGGAGACTGGCAGGCAGGGTGGGGGTAGAATGGCGGGGCCCTGCTGCATGGGCACGAGCCCACCGTGGGCCAGGCCCCATGAGGACCCTGTAGCCTCAGCATGCCAGAAGGCTCCTCACACCTACAGATTTTTTTTTTTTTTTTGAGACAGAGTCTCACTCTGTTGCCCGAGCTAGAGTGCCATGGTGTCAGCCTTCCTCACAGCAATCTCAAACTCCTGGGCTCAAGTGATCCTCCTGCCTCAGCCTCCTGAGTTGCTGGAACTGTAGGCATGCGCCACCGTGCCCAGCTAATTTTTTCTATATATTTTTAGTTGTCCAGGTAATTTCTATTTTCAGTAGAGACAGGGTCTCACTCTTGCTCAGGCTGGTCTCGAACTCCTGACCTTCAGTGATCCTCCTGCGTTGGCCTCCCAGAGTGCTAGGATTACAGGGGTGAGCCACCAAGCCTGGTCACACTCACATAATTGAGCTGACAGTGCCTCGCAGGGGCCCAGGGAGGTCCCACACTGCCTAGTCTGTCTCGGGGAGTCCCTCTCCGAGAAGGGGAGGCAGTAGCCTCTTGGGTGGCTGGACTGGAAGAAGAGATGACTTGAACTAAGCCTCCGGTTACAAGCAGATTGCAGATCATCAAAGATGGTGGGGAGACCCTTCCGGGAAGAGAACCGAAGGGCAAAGGCACAGAGAGTGGCAGGAGAGGGCAGGGGGTACCCTGCCTGCATGTGTAGGAGGGAGCCATGGGCGGGCTGACGGGCAGGCAGTCTGGTGGGCAGTGTGGTTGAACAAGGGAAGGTCCCAAGGGCCTGAACAGGACCTGACACCTTGTGGCCTGGGAGCCTCCCAAGGTCTAGAGCCCAGGAGGAGAAGAGGAGATGGCATCTTGTGAAGACTGTCTTGCTGCCAGTGTGGAAGAAGGGGTAGCTGGGACCAAAAGAGGCAGTGGAATGCTATAGACACCCAGGTATCTTCTGCCCTGGGATCTGGGAGGACAGTGGCTCCAAAGGCCAGTCAGAACTTGGGAGGGGCCCGCTACAGGCTGAGGAGAGGGTGTACCTCCTAAGGACTGTGCGGGTGACATGGTAATAGGTGTCCAGCCAGCCAGCTGGCAGCAGGCACCAGGCTGGGCTGTGCTGGTAGAGGCAAATCCTTTGGGTTTGTAGTCAAACACTATGGCCACAAGCTGTCCAGAAACATGATAATTTCAAGTATCTCCTTTCTGTTCCTTGCCTAGGACAAACAATGCTATTTAAAAGCTGAAGACAGGCCCTCCACACAGAGTTTGTGCCTACTGGATCATGGGGAGTCCTGGCCTGAGGCTCTGATAGTGGCATCCTGTGAGCCAGCAGCTCCCAACAGGAAAGGAGTGGGAGATGCAAGGGAGCCTTTTCCTAGGGACAGAATGGACTTCCCAGAACCGAAAGGCCCCCAAGGGCCAGCCATCCTTCTGAAGCAGCAAGGGTAGAGCAACAGGCCTCCCCCCAACTCTGCCCATGCAGACATGGACGGCACCTGGTCTCCCTGGGTGCCAATGACCGCGCCAGAGCTTACCTCCGAGGCCCTGTCTCCAAACTGAGCAAGCACCTTGGTCCGGTAGTCAGGGATGATGCTCAGAGGGTTGTTCAGCAGAGCCACGTGCTCCAGGCACGGGAGGCTGCCTATGCTCCGGACCTCCTCCATCTGCAAAGCATGAGTTGCATTCCCTTTGGTCCCTTCTCTTACATTTCAGCAACACACCAACATGTTTGATGGACTCTTTTAAATGAAAGGAATCTTAACATTCTTCTTTAAAGTGATAAACACCGAGGCACAGAAATCCCAGAAGCCAGAGATGCTCCTGCACCACAGCTTACCTGTTCAATTCTGTTGTTGCTGAGATCCAGATTGACCAGTGAGTAGAGCTTGTGTAGGCCACTCAAACTCTCTAGGAGGTTGCCTGCCAGGTTCAGGGTCTTGATGTTCCCCAGCTTGGTGTGAACCCCTTCCAAAGAGCAGAGCTTGTTGTAGGACAGGTCCAGGTGCACAAGGTTGTACAGGTGCTGCAGCAGCATCGAGAACACGGTAAAGTGGTTCAGGTCAAGTCTCCAAGAAACGGGGCTGATGCTAATGGCACGACAGGCCCTCCCCACCCAAACCACGCAATTCTGCAAGTCCCTCTGATGGTTTTTGGGAAGGGAAGTCCCACTTCTCCCCTGCACATGCAACAGCACAGTGGCACCCCTGCAGACAGGTTGGGGTGGGCACTGAAAACAGGCTGTCCATCCTCAGGACAGAGGTGCATCACCATGCACTCGGTTTGTGTTTACCCAACTTTTCTAATTCTTTGGATATGGAGCAACAATCACTCAGGAAATCACTGGGACCCTCGACAGAGGCGGCAGCCCTTGCCCTTACAAACTCCTGGGTATGGCCCGTTTCCCAAGGCTGCAGTAGCCTCCTAAACTCTCCGAATGGGACCTTGGGAGCGCCTGCAGGCAGTGCTGGTCTCCAAAGACATTACCTGCAGATTGTCCACAACCAGCAATCCATTGTGACTCAGGTCCAGGAACTCAATCTTTGGGATCAGTTTCTTGTGAAAGAAAAGAACACCCAATGTTACTCTGGGGGACTAGACCCTACATAGCTCCTGCACACAGTGGACAGTTGGCCCAGACTCTCACTCCTGATCACAGACTCCCGCTGGCTGGCCCTGCAGCGCATCTGAAGAACGCACGGGGACTCCAGTGCTGGGCACAAGCCACTGTTTATAGAACACTTGGCTGATGGTCCAGAGAGAGAAGGGAGTCTGTCCTTCAATCCTGCCCACATGTACTGAGCAACACAAATATAGGAACCATACTCTTACTGCCCAAATGCTCTCTGGATGTCACTCTTACATGGGTGCACCTGCCATCTTTGGAGTGATTTTTCTGCTCTACTCCTTGGGAGTAAATGTCATCACTTGCTGTAGTTCTATTATGTCAAATGTACATGCAATTAATATGCTTTATTTGACTATATGTACTACATTGCCAAATTTTAAGTAATTCCACTTTGAAATTAACTTAAAAATTGTAAGCAATGCACAGAGCACTGGATAGAGGTTTTCTGTGGTCCTTCTGGAAAGAGCCAAGTCAAACACCCAATCTCAGGATTTGATCAGGCCAGAGAAGCCTCTGGCACCCGCCGAGAGCATACCACAGACTCGTCGATCTCAGAGATGCTGTTGTGGCTCAGATCGAGAGCAGTCAGTGCTTGCCAAGTGGGGATGACAGCAGTCACAGGGCCTTCCAGGGCAGTGCCTTCTGGCTCCCACTCATCAAATTCCAAGGCTTCAGGAACAAGGACTTCCTGCACAAGAACATCTGTTGAACACCACACTTGGGCCCTCACGCAACACTCACTAGGAACACAATCACTGCAAAATTTAAGGAAGGGCCGGAGCATATTTAGCATGTGGAAGTGAACTTGCATTAAAACAGGGCTTTTCATACGTCTTTAAACAATTGTGAAATAACTGAAAAGCTTAGCCACATAATAGCCACTTAGCTTATGTCCTGGCCCTGCTACGGGAGCAAATGCTTTTCAAGCCCATAAAGGCCTTTTGCTACATGCTGATGCCTTTTCTGGCTTAAATCTCAGGGGCTGACAGTCAGAATTCATGGTGTTTCCAGGCAACTAACTGCACTTTCCCAGCTGATGATGTGGTCCTTACTGCGTGCGGACAGTGGGCCCTTTTAACTGTTCCTTCACAGGTATAAAGTCAACAATGCTAAAACCAGGGGAGCCACACAGAGCCTAGGGACCACTGAAAGGAGGGAGACAGGCCTCCTCATTGACACTTTTGATGCCTACAAGACATCTCCTCTCATGATGGATCACCTTAGCCAGGCAGCAAGGATAGCCTCAGTAGGACAAGGTGGCCCAATGCCCTTGCTCTCTCCATTAGAGAGAAACTTCACCAAATCTTGATCATACACCTCAAGTCATAAAATTAGCCACTATATGCTTTTCTATACCTGGGGAAGGATTTTAACATTACCAAGGTATAATTCATAAAAGAAAGCAAGCTTCTACATTTCCAATTCAAATGTTTCTGTTGCTCACATACAAACAACAGGGCCGGGCACTTCCACTGCAAGTCCACAGAGAACAAGACAGAAATGAGAGCTAAGCCAGGGCTTGTTAAGTACAGAGAAACAGTGATATCAATCTAACTAATAAAGGTCCTGCCACTTGCCACGCTGAACACTTTGTTCACTGAAAACCAGCGACATTTTATTTTGGGGGGGAACACAGTTCCCTAAAATGTCTTGTTAACAACATTGATTTTTTTTTTTTTTAAGAGACAGGGTCTCACTCTGTTGCTCAGGCTAGAGTACAGTGGATAATCATAGCTCACTGCAGCCTTCAACTTCTGGGCTTAAGCATGGCTAATTTCAGCCTCCCAAATCCTGGAATTACAGGTGTGAGCCAACTCACCTGGCCAACAACATTGGTTTTTGATAAAGATGTGAACTAGGCCGGGCGCGGTGGCTCACGCCTGTAATCCTAGCACTCTGGGAGGCCGAGGCGGGCGGATTGCTCGAGGTCAGGAGTTCGAAACCAGCCTGAGCAAGAGCAAGACCCTGTCTCTACTATAAATAGAAAGGAATTAATTGGCCAACTAATATATATAGAAAAAAATGAGCTGGGCATGGTGGTGCATGTCTGTAGTCCCAGCTACTCAGGAGGCTGAGGCAGGAGGATTGCTTGAGCCCAGGAGATTGAGGTTGCTGTGAGCTAGGCTGACGTCATGGCACTCACTCTAGCCTGGGCAACAAAGTGAGACTGTTTCAAAAAAAAAAAAAAAGATGTGAACTAATGTGTCCCAAGGGCTGTCATGGGCTGGGAGGTCCTGTGTGTGTGTGTGGCTAGCAAGGGAAGGTCCAGCCACTGAGTACTGATGGATATCCAAGTGTCCATATCTATACTTAGCAGTGGGGACTGCAGACTGGGACCCTGCCCCAAAGACAGTGCCCCAGGCAGGGAACAGATGAAACTGACCTTCATCGAGGTTGCTGAGAAGCGGATGCTCATTGTGGCTAATGTAGGCTTTGATGTGACCAGCCCTCGGATATGCTTGGCATCACAATGACTTATCTGGAACAAGGAACAGCTGTCTCAGAAGCAGTATCCTTGCTATATCATAAGTCCCAGGAAGTGGGTGGTCATCACCCACACACAAAAGCACCACAGCAATAGGCAAACCCGAATCCTTAGAGACAGAGGCGACTCCCCATCTGTCTCTCTTTTTCCCAATGCTGAGTGGTGACCAAACATTCTCTGAAGTATCTAGTAAGACAGGCACCTGGTTTCTCAGATTCACAAAGAACCACAAGTTCCATTTTCTCTGTAAGGGCTGACTGGGGCTTGGCAGGTGGACAGAAGATGTGGGTCATGGAAACCAGAGCTGGAGAACAAGGGGCTTCCACGACGCAGTGGGTGTGGTGGGCCCTCCTGCTCGCCCAGCCCCCAGTCCACATCAGCTGTCCTGTGGCGAGGAGGGGAGAGGTGCGGCCAAAGCACACTCCCCTGAGCCACTTGCCCAAGCGCCACACACCCACAGACCCAAACCCACAAAGCCTCAGCCTGGCGAGTAGGGGCTGCGTTGGGCTTTGCTCTCGCTTCCCAGCCCTCACGCGGCCTGCAGTGGGCCAGGCACACCACAAGTTTCCACCAAGGGGAGTGGTGCTCAAGGTCTCTGGGACAAACCTAGAATGTTGCAGGCAGAATAGCCCAATGGATAGAGGAGGCTCTGGGGTCAGACTCAGCTGAATTCAAATCCCAGCCTTCCCCTCATTAACTGTGTGATCCTGGCCAAATGTCCTTATCTCCCCAAGCCTCAGTTTCCTCAACTGTGAAATGGGTATAAAAGTGTTCTCTTCACAAGGCTGTTAAGAAGATTCAACCAGAGAGACATGGGGCATAGGGACAAACATAAAAGCCATGCTTAAAAAACTTAAAAGCTTAAACTTTAAAGCTTAAAATAAGCTTTAAAACATATTTTAGTATTCATTATTGATTCTCCTTTCTTTTCAAAAATGGTAACAAAATTGGCATTGAGAACCAAGGAGTTCAGCAGTGAGTAATACAAAGTACTTCTTGTTAAGGGCAGACACCCCAGGGGGCAGGGGACCCTCAGAGCCCTTTGCTGGTCTGCCTTGGGAAACAGATTCGGACCTGGCCTTGTCTGACACTGGGGATGACTTCCCAGGACTTCAGTTTCAACAGTGCACTCCCCACGTCCCCAGGAAGAGGCCCAGAAGGAGCCAGGTGCTGGTGCCTCCTCCCTGTCTAAATGTCCCCTGCCACCCAGGCCAAGGGCACAGGCATGCAGACCAGCCAAGGACAGGTCTTGGCTCTTTCTCTGGCTGCACAGGGTCTGACTCACCTATGCAGAATCTGCCACATGGTGCCAAACATGAAAGCAACGGTGCCTTACAATTAAATATGGACACCCAACTCACAGACACTCCCTAGGCACAGAGAATCACAGCTAAAGGATGCCCGCACAGGGGGCCCGACTGCATTTCAACACCCTGGGCCTTACCTCCACCTGATGAAGGGACTTGAATATTGACAGATCAAACGGCAGGAACTGCTCCTGAATGTTGCTGGTCCCAAAAGGTCCTTCTGTGCCAGAAACCTGAGGCCAAAGATGTGGCTTGAATCAGGGATACCACTGTGACCCCCCTATTCACATGCACGGGGCATCACTGCTGCAGCTGACAAGCCTGGACCTTTGACCACTTCTGCCTTCAACAAAGCAGGCAAAGGCCCAGGTTTGAAGTAAATGGGATTGGGACATTGGGTCATGACCGCCCCCTGGTGCCCACAGCCAGAAGCCCAGTGCCAAGAACAGCTGATGGCAGCAAGAAGCACACACACTGACCCGCCACTGAGGCTCTCCATAACTGAGCTGCTGCGGCTTTACCTTAAGGTACTTAAGGCGACAGGTGAAGTCCAGGATGTGTCCAAGGTCGGTCTTGGCGTCTCCACTGGTGCATGTGGGCTTTCCCTGCAGCAGTTGCTCGGTGACTGCATAGAGCTGCAGGGGCCTGATGGCAAAGACTTCACCGGCCCCCAGGAGCTGCTCTCCTGCAACAGCCATGCCCTGAAGGACGAGTGTCCAGCCCCAGCCCCTGCCCTCATGCAGCCAGGGCATCTGTCCGCCAGGCTAACAGTCAATAGGCACTTGGCAAGCACCTATTATGTGCCCCACCATACTAGGGCAAAGCCACAGTCCTGAGCATGCAGGAGAGCTGCCCTCCTGAGTGCACACTGGGCACAAGGCCACCGTAGACATCTGATGACAGGGAGAGCAGGGCCATGGGGCTGTGTGGCTAGGGACCACCCTGAGCAATGAGGCCGAAGGCACTAAGCCAGGGTGAGGCTGACAAGAGGAAGTATTCCAGGTGACAGACCTACTACGCTGCAACCTCCTAAATGCAGACATTCAGGTCAGGTGTGGGTCAAAGATGCCAGCACAGTGCAGAGCCTGGGAGCAACAAACTGACTAGCACCTGGTCCTTGCTCTGCTCCTTCCAGCCATGTACCCTCAAGCAGATTGCTGACCCTCTGTGTCCTCACCTGTAGCTAACCTATCGCTCCTAGGGGAAGCAGTAAGATGCTAAACAGGAGGCTGGACTACAGGAAGCACTTGTTACATGTTGGCTATTGTTACTACTGTTAGTTACTGTTACTATGCTCATGACCCAAGCTCAGCTTCCATTATATTTGCCGTCTGAATCCTTTCAGGTAACCACAAACCAGGCGCAGGAGGGTGGCATGCCATCCACCTTCCAACACCCCGCCACAGGCACTCAGGAGTCTTAAGGTAAAGGACCCAGTCTTCAAACCTGGCTACCTGCAGGGCAGGAAGGTGGGCAGGCATGGCTATGGACCAGGTCTAGGGATTTGGGCAACCCCAAGGAGATGGGCTGCCGCTAGGACTCACTTGGCACAGCTCAACAAATTGAGTTCTGTGCCACCCTGGGTCTCTGGTCACCTAGCAGGGCTAGGCAAGTTGTGCCCAACATTTCAAGGACCTGTGGCCACATACCTTTTTCAAAGAGCTCTTCGGCCAGTGCTGCAGTGATGCCATTTATCTCCTGCAGAGAAAACAAAACTTGTCATTAGAAAGTCCACCTGGCCCCAGTCACTGCGATTTACAAATTGCTGTCTACCCCCTCTGGTGTGGCAGTACCAGCTCTCTAGAAAGTTAAACAAAATAAAGGAGAGGATAAACCTATATAATGAAGCAAGGAGCTTAGAAAGGGAAACTGAGTGTTTCTAGTTATATGGATACCTGGAATGTCTCCTTAAAAGCAGAATGGAAACCAGACTAATGGCTGCAACTCCCAGTCCACAGGCACTGGCTGAGCACACGAGGGCCCGGGAGGCCAGCACAGCTGAGCTATACAAAGGGCTTTTAGGAAGCTAGCAGCTCCCTAAACTGGCTCCAGGAGTCCCTAAGAGAGGGAGAGGCAGAGAGGAAGTCCCCTTTCTTCTGGAAAAGGGGCTTCTATCACCCTGGTCGGAGGAAGGAACTCCCAGAGCCAATCCTCCCTGGGAATGAGCATTTCCACTTTTTCTCATGTTTCCTCTGTATCTCAGGAGAGCAAACACTTGTTCTCTTCCTGTGCTCAACCCTTCCAGATGTGCAACAGTAACCCTTAGCCCCAGGTCACAAGAAAGACCTGGGAAAGGATTTCCTTTTAAATGAGGCAAGGGGGGCATTGCAAAGACAAGCCTTCAGTCAGGTGAGCAGCTAACCTGCTGGATCTGAATTCACACCAGGCAATGCATTCAGTGGGACTGGCTCCTTGAATCCTCCCTGATGCCTCATTGCCAAAAAGAGGAAGCTGCTCTTTGTTTGATTTTTGGGTTTTGTTTTTTTAGAGACAAGGTTTCGTTCCGTCATTCGGGCCGGAGTGCAAAGGCGCAATCATAGATCACTGCAACCTTGAACTCTTGGGCTCAAGGGATCCTCCCTCCTCAGCCTCCTGAGTAGCTGAAACTTCATACACACAACCTCCCTGACACCCTGGCTAATTAAAAGAAATTTCTTTTGTAGAGACAGGGTCTCGCTATGTTGCCCAGGCTGGTCTCAACTCCTGGCCTCAAGCTATCCTCCAGCCTCAGCCTCCCAAAGTGATGGGATTATAGGCATGAGCCATCACACCTGGCCTGGGAGGCTGTCATCTGAACTCTGTTTCACAGATGAGCAAACTAAGGGTGAGAGGTGCTGTGACCCTACAATTTTATAAGGCTAGGAACTAGCAAAGCCACACTCAAGGCACTTGGCCTTGCGCCTCTCTGTGCACAACCAGCTTCCTCAGCACTTCAGTAGTGTAATCGTGGGCTTGGCAGGGCCCCCCAAGCCCTCTGCCTCACTCCCCCACACCCCACAGGTAAGAAGTTTAACTAATAGACAGACCAGGCCTTTTTGTAAACAGGTCCAGATGGAGGCTGCATAATCACCCTCATAACTCCCTGGAACATCGCTGCCACCGGGACATGCAATTCACGTGTTTATGGGACTCAAAAGGCACCAGGTTGCAGAAGACAGGATGTCCTTTCCCTGTTTATCTTTTAGGTTGTTTGTGTCTTTATTACCTTTTATGTATCATGGCTATTTTAATGGCTGTTTATGTGTTGCAAGTATTTCCTCCTAGCCTGTGTATGCTGTTTACCTCTGTTCACAATGGTTTTCTTGACATAGAGAGGTTTTTCATTTTATGTTGTTTAAACCTGCAATTCTTTTCCTTTGTGACTTCTGGGGCTTCTTTTCCCACCCCAAGATTATAAAAATATTCTTTCTTTTGGTCCTTTAAGGTATCTTTTAAAAATGTGTTTATTTCTTTAATCTGCTTGAAATTCAGTTTACGTATATAGTATGAGAATACCAACCCCCCCCATGGAAAAAAAGCCAAAAGGAACAAACAGAGCCCCAGCTTTAAAGGACTTAGAGCCCAGCAGGGTACAGGGCCACATGTAAATGGGCCAACAGAGGGACAAAGCAGGCCCTGAGCAAGAGAAGGTTTGTGCTGCAAGTATGAGAAGCTATGGGTTCCCTCAGAAGTTCAACTTCAGTCTCTTGCAACCACTTAAACTCAATCACATTTTCCTTGGTACCTGTGAAGAACTAAAAATTAGGAGGAGTTTGGAATGATCCAAAGGCTTGTTTCACCATGGAGGCTTTTGAGAACCAAGCCCTATCTATAAAGCAGCACTTTCTAGTCCTCCCTGCTGTCAGATCGCCTGGATCTGAGGAGGTCCCAGGGGCTGCCAATCTTTGCCCATCTCAATTTCCCAAGAGTAGCTCCAGGGCCTCTCAGGCACCTTGTTATGGACACAGGTTCCCAGAGGTCTCTCATGGGAAAAGGGTTCTTTGCCCCATGATCAGCACCAAACAACCCTCACTTTCACAGCACATTTCCTCAGCCAGCTGGCATCAGCTCAGAAAGAACACTGAGAAAAAATCTCCTTGGCCTGAGTGTGGTGGCACTTGCCTGCAGTCCCAGCTACTCAGGAGGCTTAGGCAAGAGATCACTTGAGGTCAGGAGTTCGAGTCCAGCCTGGGCAACAGAGTGAGAACCTGTCTCTCAGAAAAAAAAAGTTGTCCTAGATGCCAGCCCCTCTAAGGGGACAGGGCTGGAATTTCCAGAGAACAGAAAGCTGAGAGATAGTGAGGGCCAAGGGCTCCTACTGAGCAAAGAGCAAGCTTTCATTTCTGAGGAATCTCAAAAGCAAACTGTAAAATTTTTTCTCCCTGCTCCTTGGGGCACAGGAAGTACATACTGCTGCAACACCTGCTACCTGGTTCCCCAGGCCAATCTTCACCGTGGAAGGGAGACTGAACCAGAGAGGAAAATAGAAATTCCTCAGCCCCCAAACCTAGAGCACTGGCCTCCTCAGAGAGTTCTCTGGTCAAACTGAGGGCTTGTGAGCAAAGGTGTGCAGAAGTCAGGCTTCCCTGAGCCAGGAGGAGATGGGGGCCTCAGTGGCCCCTGGGCCTAAGCTGCTGCAGATACTTTTGGGAGGTCACCTGGGGGGACAGGTGACTCCCCACATGCCCTACCCCATCTGTGTTCTTGAAGGAATTTAAAGTTCCATAAACATCTGAATTGATGTATTTTTAAAAAGGACATTCGTGGCTGGGCATGGTGGCTCATGCCTGTAATACTAGCACTCTGGAAGGCCGAGGCAGGAGTTCGAAACCAGCCTAAGCAAGAGCAAGACCCAGTCTCTACTAAAAATAGAAAGACATTAATTGGACAACTAAATATATATAGAAAAATAGCCAGGCATGGTGGTGCATGCCTATAATCCCAGCTACTCGGGAGGCTGAGGCAGAAGGATTGCTTGAGCCCAAGAGTTTGAGTTTGAGGTTGCTGTGAGCTAGGCTGACGCCATGGCACTCTAGACCGGGCAATAGAGTGAGACTCTGTCTCAAAAAAAAAAAAAGGAAATTCTTTATATCTCAATGAAAATTTCAATTAAAAAATCATTAACATTAGCTATGTTTACAAATTTTAATATGACACTTCCAAACGTGTTACACGACAACTGATGGCCGCACCACCAGTGCTGGGACCCACCCTATGCTGCTGGTGCACAGCTTTGGGCAGAGGTTTGAGCTTCACATAAACACACCGTGGACTAGTCAGGCTGTAGCTCTGTGACTTATATTCTGATTGAGCATGCCTGCGCACACACAACCCTGCGACCAGTGTACCAGAAACACATATGCCTGCAAGCAAAGGAAAGCCTTAGGCCAGTCCCTGACGCATCTGTTTGGCACATGCTCAGCAGTGAGCTTGTCAGTGGGGCATTAACCAGGGAATTAATTACACATCACCGAGACATTGTCAAGTGTGGTCTGACACACAATGCTAAGGATTGGAGTCTCTGTCTAACTTTATGTTGGTGATGAGGCATTCTAGCAGGAGTCAGGCATATTATGTATGATTCAACTTTAAGCAAAATTTCCCTGAGAAATTCAAACCTAAACTTCAACTAAAACAGAGTTCCAAGACTGTAAGTAACCTGAAGAGAAATCTGTTATCATTCACCACCTCAATACTTTGAAGTAAAACAAATCATGGAAATAAATTGGATGCTAAAGCCAATTTAAGACGGTAACAGTTCAACATAGCCCTTTCCACGTTTTGAAAAAGCATCCTGCTCTAGCAATGGCTTTAAACAAAAACAAAAAATATATAAATACCTTTCAAGAGAACCAAATGCCTTTCATTACCAGGGCAGCCCAGTAATGGCTGTCACATGGCAGCCTGACCTGGGCCCTTCCTTCTAAGCCCTTGACCTTCACTGCACCATCTCCTGCAAGTCTCACAGGGACCAGATCATCACCTCCAACTCACAGGAGGAGAACTAGGGCACCACGAGGTAAATGACTGACTTGGAATAAATGGAGGGAAGCAGTAGGGCTGGGAGATAGACTCGGCTCCGCCATCTCCAAGTCCACTATTAGATGTCCTGCTCCAAAATGTGTGTTGGAATTCTCTGTGGAATCCCTTTCATGAGTTTGAAAATCTCTGCTCTAGGGTCCTGGGACGAGGTCTGTGAATGTGGTCCAGGAGGATCAGGGCACAGCTACCTGGCGAGACCACAGAAATGGGTCCCTTGCTGCAGTGTACCTCTCACTGCAACACAACTGCACCATCTCCCAGACTTCCCAGCTCAGGTGTGAACTGGAAATAGAAGGTGTGATTTTTTCCTTGTCATTAAAATCCATACTGCAAAAGAATGAAGTTGGATCCCTATTCACATCATATTACCAAAATAACTCAAATAGACCAAAGATCTAAATTAGGAGCTAAAACTATAAAGCTCTTGGAAGAAAGTTAGATATAAATCTTTGTGACATTGGATTTGGCAAGGTTTCTTAGATATGACACCCAAAACATAAGCAACCAAAGAAAAAAAAAACAAACTGAACTCAATCAAAATCTAAAACTTTGTGCTTCAAAGGACACTATTAAAAAAATGCCATGGTGGCTCACGCCTGTAATCCTAGCACTTTGGGAGCCGAGGCGGGCGGATTGCTCAAGGTCAGGAGTTTGAAACCAGCCTGAGCGAAACCGTC